TTAAACAAACAAAAAACAAAAAGCATTCATGCCGCAAAAAAATAAAATTCACCCCGTCGACTTGATAACCACCCCCATTGCTTGTGCCGCCCTCCCTCTCTTGGGGTGCAGTACTACAATGCCCCTGGGGTCACTCAAACCCCCAGAACTGAGCCTCTTTGATCTTTGTTATCCCTTGATACGTCTCTTAACCTATCAAACCTAAAAAACCGTCTTTTAAATGGCAAATCTGTGCCGCTTGCCATCGGCAAGAAACTTAATTACTCAAATATTAAAAAATCAGTCGAGAAACATAATGACAACACCAGCGAGAGCTAAAAAATTGCTGGAGTCCTTGAAGGACAACCCGTACTTCGACAAGTATGCCCCAGCCATCACTCGACTCCAGCAAACAAATCCTGAGGAATTTATTTCGAGAATCGAAGAGCAACAGCGCAAAGAGACCGGTAATTCCAAGAAAAAAAAATTAATTAAACATAATTATTAACAATGATTATATTTTTCAACTCTTTCTCCCGTTCTCTACTGCAGAAAAGAGGGAGAAGGCGAAGAGTTTTAAAAACGATGCAACAGCTAAACCAGAATTGCATCAAAATATGCAGAACCGACAGGCACGTCTGTCTGATGTCATGAAGACTGAATTACTCCAGGACAAAGGCAAGGATGAAATAACAGATATTTGGTTGAGTTATCACAAAGAACGTGATTGCATCTCTGGTGTTATGACTCCAGAGATATTCAATGCTATGTACGAAAGGGCAATGAAGTATCCAACATTTATTCTTCCACTGCCAAGGGAAAATGGATACGAATTCATTCTCACTCAGTTCTGTGGTACAGAGATTCACATGACACCTGTACTGTGGTATCAAACGCATCAGGAAAATGCACCCGAGTGCATGACAATAGTCCATTACCTCGAGTTCAAAGACTCGAAGAATCTTGTCCTCATGAGGGGACAATTTGATACTAAATCGATCAATGTCCAGGAGGCCCAGTGTCTCGCTAATCAATTGCAATTGTATTACTCAGGACAGGATGACGAGAGATTTCATCTTCTGAAGACTTTCAATGAGAAACCAAATGAGTTCAAACACATGGATCTCATCTCCCAGATGGAGAGTGTCTCTCTATTCACTGAGATTAAGTCAGGAAATAAGAAATAGATATGTAAATTGAGGAAAAATATATGTCCATGTTAATAAATGTGTAGAAAATTTGAAAGAATTTTTTATTGCATTTTTTGGGAGTTTATCTTTGGTTTTTTTTTTTTCTAGGGGGATTTTTTCGGAGAAAATCGCCATGGAGAAAAGTGCAGATGAGGTCTTATTCGAATTTTCAGAGGAAGTCTGCATTTGTTAGCACTCCGATATTTTACGTGAATGCTGGTAGATTTCTAGGAGATAATTGCACATTTTGAATCATTCGGTTTGTTAAAGAGAGTTTTAATAACAGGTCCTCATATTGGGCATTTATATAGTGCCGCGATGGCTGATGCTGTGGCAAGGTACAATAAAATGCTGGGGCTCGAGACATTTCTAAGTACCGGAACTGATGAACATGGGAATAAAGTCAGGAGTGCTGCAGGATTGAATAATTTATCGCCTGAGAATTACTGCGACGAGATTTCAACGTTGTTTAGAGGGATGTGTGATGATTTCGATATTGATTACTCCAAGTTTATCAGAACTACTGATAAAAAACATCAGCAGGGTGTTTACAAATTCTGGGTTTGTCAGATTATTTATTTAAAAAGAAAAAAGTCAGCAGTGAAGTGATAATGATTCATAATTGATTCAACTTTATCATTTACTGAAATAAATTAAAGGCCAGTCTACAAAACTCTGGGCACCTGTACCTCGGCAAGTACTCAGGATGGTACTGTGTCTCTGACGAGGCTTTTGTGCTCCCGTCCGATTTGGAGGACTTGAAAAAGCCAGATGGAAGCACAATAAAAATTTCCTCAGTATCTGGGAACCCAGTGGAGTGGATGGAGGAGGAAAACTACAAATTTCGATTGAGTTCGTTCCAGGATGACCTAAGACACTGGTTGAAGGATGAAAAATGCGTCCAGCCATTAAAGTACCATAAATTATTATCAAATTGGGTGGAGGAAGGATCTTGTCTAGAGGATCTCAGTGTCTCCAGGCCTGCAGCAAGGGCCCCCTGGGCCATTCCAGTCCCCAATGACCATTCACACACAGTCTACGTCTGGCTGGACGCTTTGATAAATTATCTGACAGTCCTGGGGTATCCTGACGATGATTACAAAAAATTCTGGCCTCCAAAAGTCCAAGTACGAATAAAAAATGGCATCGACGTCGTAATAATAGAAATAATTATGATAATATTTTTAGGTGATAGGTAAAGATATTTTGAAGTTTCATGGGGTGTACTGGCCTGCATTTTTGATAGCCGCAGGGATGGAACCCCCTAGGACTATCCTCTGTCACTCCCACTGGACAGTGAATGATGAAAAAATGTCAAAATCGAAGGGAAATGTTGTGGCACCGTCCAAGGCAGCTGAGATGTTCACTCCAGATGGTCTCAGGTACTTCCTCCTGCGAGAGGCTGTGCCTCACAGTGATGCAAGTGGGTTCAAGGTCCTTCGACGTTACAAAAGTATTCTTAATATTTTTATTAATTTTATTTTGTTTTTTTTTCTTCAATAAGATTACAATGAAGAGAAGATCCGGAAAATTCTCAACGCAGAATTGGCAGACACCCTCGGGAACTTGTTCAGCAGGTGCATGGGTAGAGCTGTAAATCCACGTGGAGCTACCCCAGAGGCCTCGATAATCCACAAGGACATTTTAGGCACAGAGGAAGCTAAAAATCTCGTGGAGAGTCTCCACCGTTTGCCTGGAACAGCCCAAAGTGCCTACCAAGATTTCAATTTCCATCAGGTGGTCGATGCAGTCATGAACTCTCTGCGATGCGCCAACAAGATGATCGAGCATCACAAGCCCTGGGCTCTAGTCAAGTTAAACGACGAAAAATCGATGACTCAACTCGAAGCAGTTCTGGCACTTGGACTCGAGTCTGTCAGAGTCAGTGCTTTAATTCTTCTTCCAATCGTCCCCAGACTGGCTCACAATCTTCTCTCTCACCTCGACATTCCCATGGACTCGAGACAATGGATTAACACAGAATTCTCAAGAACTGGAAGAGCCACAGAAGGTATTCAGGAGGAGAGACTCAACAATTTGATTTTATTCAAGAGGATTAAGTGAATTTCCAAGATAATCACTTGATAATAATCTGAAGTGAATGTTGAATTCATTTTCACGTCAGGTACCTATTATATTTCCACATTTTTTATCGCGACTTTCCACGGGCATGCAATTAATTCCAATAAATAATATAAATGTCTGGAAATGTCTTTATGGGATACGAAATAAATTATACAAGAACTATCATGAGAAGATCTATTGTTCTTTACTGTATTCAATGAATTTTGAAAGGCATGTCATTATTGTATTTCGGGGTTGTGGTTCTGACACATTTTATGAGGAAAATAATTGTGATATAAGTGCGTAATTTTAGGTCTCAGTTTGCCTATCCTGGTAATTATCGTAGAAGACTTCTATTCTCAATTGTTTAAATCAAACAAATGAAACAATGGCATTGTCTTGAGTCATTATCAATGTCAGTTTTGATTATCGAGGAACTGATCAAATTTCCGTTGAGCCCTTTGACACAATCATTCGTTTGTTCATACGAATGTCTGAATCGTATCGAACATTTTTCTACGAAATTTCTATAAATACCACGTGAAATATTCATGCATTTTTGAATTTTTTAGAAATAAATTCACGAAAATTTGAAGATCGAGTGAAAATAAAAAATAATTCATTCATTAATCCGTGGGTTAGTTTTAATTGGTAGAGTAGTAGAGGTAAAAGATGACAGATCGATACTCGTATTTTCGATTGATATCTCCGAGTATAAAAGAGATGGCGAAATTTTTATCGGGAACTCTTTTGTAGAGTGGAATGTGAACTATAAAGAAGCTCTTACAAATATTTCGCTATTTCTCATGGATTCAGAGGGATTCTTTGAAAAGTTATCTATTAGAGCAAGTGCATCAGTCAGAATCGATATTCGTTTCCTCGTGGAGATTGACTTTATCCTCCAGGGCAGCGAGACTGACGGGTCCATCGATGTCGATGATATTCTCAACTGGTTCTTTCCTCTTTGATCTGTACAGGGGATTGTCGAATCTCTTCCCATCCTTATAGTCGTCATCGTCACTATCCGTCTCGTCTTCTGGGATCAGGGCACTCGCCAGTTGCACATCACCCTCTGCTACATTCTCAAATCTTGCAAAACCAAAATCCCCCTCTTTACTGGGATCAGGTGGCAGATTTCCCTCTCGAATTGACGTTCGAAATACGAAATACACTCTGCAAAAATAAAACATAATTGTAATCTGACGGGAATAATTACGAATTCGATTACTCAATTTTCCGGTATTAGAATTCCTTTCAACCGATCGAAAGTCAAGTTTCACAGGCCTGTGATAATCTCAGAAAGGACTTAATTTCCATGACATTTGTCAGTCCTCCAATAAGTCCTTGTCGATAAATCGATCAAAGGCTGGACAAATTGAAAATTCTGCCCACTCTTACCCAGAGAAATAACAAGCCCCTTTGACAAGAACAAGATCTATTCAAATTTTATTTTCCCGACTCGTGTTTTATTCAACATGCAAAAGAAAACTCACCCTGTTGATTTAAGGGACAACAGGTGTTCACTGGTCTCCTCTCTGGAAACTCTCACATACCAAAACTATTCCAGCACACGCACTCGAACATTCCACCCCATTCAAGTACTCACCCTCCTCCTTACCCTCCCCCCAGACCGCCCCCCTCGTAATTGCACATTTCTCCGGTGGCAACCTGCATGAAGTGGTCCAACTGTGCAATACTGTTATACATATTACTAAGAGCAACAGTAGGAGAGTTAATCTTTCGGTGCAAAGCAAAATATTAAAGCCAGATGTTACAACCGGACTGCATATTACTAAATTAATGCACCACCTGAACATATATCTTTATCAAATAGTGAAATTCTATGATTAATTACACGTCGACGGAGTCCCAAGGGGGTAACCTTATTTTTTTTTATAATTATGATAATCATATTTCATGTTTTAATTGTTGAAAAAAATTTTTCATTTTTGTTTTGGGATATTTAGGATTGCATTTGATGAGCGGATTTGGACGACTCTTTTGGATTTTTTATTTGGAGTAATGGAAAATATGACTTACTCTCGGTACGAATATCCGAAGGCTGGAATTGCTATGAGGATGAGGACAATTAATACGAGTGGAACTCCAAACAACGGACCCAGAGCTGTGGCTATTACAGAGCCCTTCAGGGGTGCCCCTGTTACTGCGTATGACACGACATTTATTCCTCTTTCTGTGGAAACATTAACAATTTATGAAATTTATGGGTGCTGGAATGGTGGGCATAAAAATATAGAAATGGGATACGCTCCGAGATTTTCCTGAAGCTTCTATCAGAATTCTTAAAAATCAATGGATTTTATTCCAAATTTTGTCATTGTCCCGTAATAATTCCGTATTTTTATTTATTTATTCCATAAATAAAATTAAAAAACGGAAAGGTATTGTCATTTTTATTGAACCCAAATTGGTATCGAAATGAATTTTCGTTGACAATTGATCGAGATGGAAAATCGTTTTGCCTTTTTGTTGAATTCTAGAAAATCAACAAACCCGTACATTTGTACGTTATCTCCAATTATTTCTTTCGAATGAATAGAGTCTCTCGGGTCATGAAATCATACCTGCAAAGGCCCTCTGAAGTGTATCAACGGCTTCAGCACTTTTTATTCCCCTGTAAACACTCTCGGTGACGAGGACTTCGACATTTCCATCCAGCGTCACTCTGATGTGTTGCAATATATCGTGATAATTTTTTAATGCTTCAGTAGTAATTTCATGTAATTTCGAGAGAGAAAAGGTCGTGTGGTCAACGTTCAGACTGACTCGACCCCCGCAGTAAGAACAACAATGTCCCTCCACCTTCATTAGCATTAATTAATTGCATTATTTTCAGTCTCATCAAATTTGAATAACAATAATCCAGAGAATATATTGTTTTAATAATTAATTCTATCGATCTTACAACGAGTGGATAGGAGCAGGGAATCTCCTCCCCAGAGCATCTTGAACTCTCGATCTCGCAGATTTCGTTGATTAATTCTTTGACATCCGTATTGTGACGACATAAACACTTGTCAGTGTCACAATAAGGCAATCCACTATATCTGCATAAATAAATAATTTTATTGAATATTGTAAAAAAACCCCGACGAATTCGTTGGATGATTTCTTTGGAAAATTCAAATAGAGATGGAAAAGAATTTAATATTTCAAATGAAGTAAAAATATTCATTATTTTACAGGACACTCTGGTGATTGTTCGAGAATTCTCTCCCCATCATGATTGACTGCCAGTCCCATGCTTCTAGTGGTGTTTCATTCCCGATTTTAATTTCTTTAATATTCACTGTGACTGTCGGCAATTTTATGCTCAACGAGCGATTGTAATTCGGCAAAATGACCATATCTGTCCCACAAGGAATTCTCTCCAAATGGGGAACGGCTTTATTTGATCCACTCCAATTGTCCGGATCCACCCACGAAAACGGTCCCTTCCATTTCCACGCGAATATTTCAGGGTTATTACCTCTTCCTTTTGCTTCAGTTAACTAGAAATTGTATATAATTCTATGTATAAGCTTTGAGAAATGAAAGTGATATAAATTTTGGCATTACCGATTTATATCGAAAAATATCGAATTGAAGTGGAAAAGTTAAAAAATTTTTTATCGCTCATTAATTTGTTCGACAATTGAAGTTTCGATTTCCCTTTTATCGATGGTTTGTAATTGTTTTTTAAGATGATTTTTAGTGACTCCCGGAGATTCGAGAATTTAATTAGAATTTTTTGTCAAAAAAATAAATCACTTGATTTCCAGTGAGTTCCGCTGATTTCTTTGATTTGATAAATGATTTATAAATTATTTCAGTAATTTGTGAGAAGTTCACCTGAAGTCCACCATTGAGGGGAAGAAGGAGTGATCCATCATGTGGCAATTCGATCCCAGAAAAAATAAAATCACCGGTCACGGGTAGTCCGACAGAATGTTGCATCTCCACGGGAAATTGAATTCTACTATTTCTCGTGGGCACTTTATTATTAATCCAATTATTCCTCGTTGTGAATTCGAGGTCCGGAAGCCAGACTTTTCGACCCCCTAAGCCCCAAGAATCCCCTTTATTTATGCAAAATGTAGTTAAAAAACAGAACAAAATTTTGTGTCGCATTTTGGTTGATTTATTTAACCACATGTACATCGAAATAGTCCGGATGATCCCGCATTACTGCCCCCAGTAGGCGTTTCCAGACCACTGAATTCCCCAGGGATTGCCCTTATCTCCATTTACAAATACATGGATAAACGGGTAAAAATAAAAGACAATTGACAAATTGGGAAATTAATGAGAGACTGTATGAATTTTGGTTTAGTTTATTCTGACAAAAAATTATTACCACTCTGAGGTATTTCATCTTTCACATTAACGTGCAATGTACATATATCTTCGGTTATCTATTACAAGGGAATAACAATTGATAAATCATTTTCTCATTCCATTATTTTGGGTTATTTATCGGAAATAATTGTTTCAGTAGTGAATTGATAGGAGTGAATTTTCAGTTAAACTTTCAATTTTCAGTAATTAATTATTTTTATAATGAATATAAACTAAATGAAGAATAAGATCCATTTTTTCAATTGAATATCTTCTTCGAATATCTGCGATATTTAAATAATTTAGGGAATAATAAAGTATTATAAAAGAATTATTTATAGCGTAGTTATATGAAAATAAAAATTGGATTCTGAGATGAAATAATTATTCTCTCATTCCACTACTGATTTTGATTTTCCATTGGTAATCGTTCTAGCTGGTGATTGATTTACAGTCAAGAGATAAGCATTTAGCCCTGCGTAAAATAATTGACGATAAATTGTTTATCCAAATGTTTTTTACACCGAGATAGACTGAGATTCATCTTTCACGTGAATATTTATTTGAGTTTTCATTGTTCTCAGTGTACACAGACATTGAAAAAAGGATAAAAATGACGTGACGATCTGAAAATCAGTTAGAACTGATCCCACAGTTGACCATCGTCAGCGATTTTTCTGTCATCACTCAATTCTCGATTATCAGAATCGAAATCTCCATTGAATAATTGTAGATTTCTCTTTCCAATGCCGAATCCGTACGCGTGCGACGGTGAATTACGTTTTATTTCACCGGAATCATCGATTATCAGATTTGAATCGTAATTTTTTCCATCAAGGGGCACGTACTCCAGGGGAAGTCTCACAGGATAGAGTCTGGGGAAGGCGTTGCGTTTGCCAACACCAAAGGAATACGGAGAGTTCCTCTACAATCAGAGAAAAAATTATTAAATAATTATGCGATAAAAAAGGAATTAAAATTGTACATTTTTCATTACCATATTTTTTTTTTATTAAAATGATTTAATATCGGAATTTATCACTGAAATTTTTATTTCGTTGGGGAGATTCAACGAAAATATTATAATTTATTCCCCGCGATCATCTGAACAGGTCTCCCTGATAACGCGAGAGAATAAAAAAATGGCGCGATGTCCTCTCAATTGAATTCACCCCCAAAAATATTCACTCGATTGTAAATAATTTTTCTCCCTGCGCGCCCATTCCTCACGCAACCGATAAAAAGATAAAAAAAATTGTTTGTTATTCCAGTGTGACCCGATTATTTCCTGCTGATTAATCCGTGATTTTCCAGAGGATAACGGATACCCGCGATTTTCGGAATTGCTCAAAGAATTCAAAATTTATTTGGATTCACCCAGACTTTTCACCGCCTGCAGTAAAAATCCCAAAATAAAATCACGTCTCCACAAAAAAAAACTCTCAATTATTTTTAATTCTTTGATAATTGATGTGAACCCTCGAATAAACCCCAAAAACTCCCATTAATTCATCCATAATTGAATGAAATATTAAATTATTCACGTTCTTCCCTCATTAACCGAATAAATTTAGCCGACCAACAAAAAATACCTGAAAGTCAATGAAGGGCTCGTGATTGTCACTAGCTCCCCCAAAAAAACTCGAATACAATTGTCATTGTTACGAAAAAAGAAATCAAATAAAATGGAGATCTCATGCCTCTGGAAGATCCCTCCAGTCGATTGTCCTGACAGTTCCCAGGACTCGAACGATCCTGAAGATTCCCCTCAAGAATCACCGGTGTCACTGTTTATCACAATCACAGGTAATTCCATTCATCAAAATACTTCCCCCACTACAGCTGTCCCTCAATTACCGAAGACCTTCAATCTTTATTTCAATACCATGACCCACGTCATTCCCCCGCCATTCTCTCCGCGATTCTCTCCCCCATTCTCTCCCCCATTCAACGGGGTATTATATTTGGAGGGACTCAAAATTATCGAAAGATACTGATTAAAATAATTAATTTACCTTGATACTGTCGTCAAATCTTTTTCCTATACCGAAGCTGTAAAGATAATCAGGGAATCGTTTGTATGCGGCTAGGTAGCGATATTGTGGTAGGCGTTTATATTCTGTTATCAAGTCATAATCTTTCTTCGGGGCTTCGCAGCCACGTTGATGAATCCCTTGTACTGGAACTGTTACTCTCGGCTCATCTGCTGCACTGATTCCAATATTCATCATCAGAGCCAATGCTAATATCAAGGTAATATGGAAAAATTGCCTCTGAATCATCTTTCTTCCTTTGCCTAAAAAAAAATTTCACCAGTTGCATTCTTTTTCATTTATCTACTCCTCATTCGTAATTACTTCACATTTTTTATCATTCTAATTGATTTTTTTAATTAATAAAAATGGGAATTTAACATTTTTGGGAATTCTCTATTAATTATTATTTTTGTAATCGATTTTTTGAATTTAAAGTGAAATTTGATGAATTGTTTATCAGTAAAATAAATTTTAAAAAACTGTAAAAATTGAATGATTTTATTTTATTTGTTCATTATTGAAATGTTAATTATGTGTATTTAGGATTTGATTTAAGGACACCAGGTGGGATTCAAGGGGTGCGAGGGGAAATGTCGAGGGAAGACAATCGGTATGACGACTTGATTGAATCTCCGGGAGGGGTGTCAATTTAATTACACCAACAGTGGTTTCCACTCCCCTCCCCCATTCAATTCCTTTTAAATGTTATCCCAGCAATTTTCCGTCGCCGGTAATTAAATCCAGAATTAACCGAATTTATTTAAAAAATAAAAATTCCCCAGACGTCCTGTTAAAAACCAACGAATCGTGGAATTCTCCATCCCGTCAATTAAATCCATAATTAATCATTAACAACCCTTCAACCCTCTAATTTATTAATACTCGAGTAAACTATTGGCAATAAATAAATTTATTTATTATGTATGAGAGAATTGAAAATCAGGGTTCTCTCCGGAATTTTTTGTCGTTGGAATTTTCAGGAAAAATTGGGGATTTAAAAAAATTAAATATCAATTGAATGTTTTGGGTTTATCAACCCCTCGAGGTTGTGAGATTACGGAGCCTGCTCCTGGGGTTTACAATTAACGGTTTCGTGAAGAACCCGGGGTAATGGAGCACCAATTTGCTTTCAGGTTCCTTCACGATGGAATAGGGTGTTCGCCATTCTTAATTACTGCATAAGGTCTCTGATTGTATCCCAACCCTCTACCCCATCCTTTTGATAAACACCTCCTTCTAACTTACACCCTCGACATTTATTTCGGTTATTATCCGACCCGAGTACCTTCGGATAATTAACCTGACGGGCGTTTCAAGGATGATAAAAGGAGATTGATTGCTCAATTGATTCAGGATTTTTTCATTCAAAAATATTAACAACCGACGGAATATCCCTCGAAAATCATAAAACACTAATAATAATTTATTATTACAACAATAATAATACAAAAATATATGAAATGTTCAGTTGCATGCGTGAATTCATTCATTACATTATTATTATTTTTTTCATTCGATGTAATTGAATTTTTAATTCAATATCATAATGCTTTTTTATAGTATTGGAAATCGTTTCCATTTTACGAGTCGACACAATTTTCATTTTAAATTAATCAAGTAATAATAAAACGATAATTTAATATCTATAATACATTTAATTAATTTAATGATTTTACGAATGTATTCTGTAAAAATATGATTCATTTTTTAATTTATTGAAGCCCGAGGCTGATACTCCATCGGTTCAATGTTTGTCCGAGTATTTTTGTTATTCGGATTCTGTCCGATTGGAATAAATTTACAGTGAGCAATTGGTGAATTTATCCAGGCATTTGTTGATCATTCCAAATAAATAGTTGATTTAAATCTGAAAAACGATGACGAGATTTCGGTTTAAAAATTGTTCAAATGAATTATTTGTTGCGTGAAAAGATTTGCCAGACAAATTCTTCATGAAAACTGTATTCCGTGAAAAGTGCGGAAATTAAATTCTCATCAGCTTGTGCAACTCCATCAGTGTTTATATTGGCAATTAATGTCCAATCATGTGAAAAGATTTCACTGACTCCCTCGATTATTTATTTTTTTTTTCAATTTACTCTCAATCGGCTTGTCAATAATTTTAAAATGCTCGTCCCAAGAATTTCAAAATCCGGAAATTGGAGATTTTCCACTCTCCGATGTGAACATATAATCGAAAATAAGGGAATGCACTATAAAATTCACATTCACAGAGACTTTATCTTCGATTCCCTCATTATTCCGGGGATATGAGATTAATGTCACGACGATATTCTGTCACAAGAAGTCTCCAGTTCACTTCCATTCATCTCTCGCATTCCATTTTTTTTTCATCTCCAATTTTCACGCTCTCGAGCATTATGAGTTGGCACATCACGTGATCAAGCGACTATTTTATTATTTATTTTTTTTCCAGTACATCAAAATTTTCAATGAATATATTTACGCGAATATGAACGATATCCATATAGATAGAAAATAGTAGAATGAAAACTTGATTATGTGTGGATGATTTCCCGAGTGTCTTGTTCTATTAATATGTTCCACGAGAACCTCAGCTTCGCGGTTAAAATTATAAAAATTGTCAACAATTTCCCTCCATCTATCGCTCCATGAAAAAAAAAACTGATTACACATTGCCCCTCCCCCCAAAAAAATACAATTTCAATGAAACCCCTCGGTAAAAACAGAAATAACTCCTCAAAGGACTCGTCACGATTGAATTTGTTATTAAACTCTCCCTTGTGTATGAGAAAACACTCCTGAATAGAAAGAATTAACGAACCCCTCTCGTTATTGAGTTTCAAAAGTGGACATGAAGACAAAAGGATTATGTCTTCATAAAAAATCTCAATACACAAAGAACGACAGAATGAAAATTGCCTCGCTGACCGCAAAACAATTCAATTAAAAATTCAATTAACGATTCCCTTAGAATAGCTTTTCCCAAAAAATAATTTCCCCATTGTTTACCCATTTCTTCAAATGATAAATAAAATTATTAATAAAATTATTGAATTATTTATCAAATGGGATAACAGCCCTGAGGATTGGGGTGAGATTTATTTACAGTTCTTGTTTATATCTTCAATGTTTATTTATTAATCAGTGGAGAGATGGGGATTTTAGGGATCAACTCACCTGTTGCTGGGAAATCGAGCAGATGGAATTTCAAACGTCCTCGTTATTTTACACTGAAAAACTCAATTTATTGCACTTGATGATAATTAAATTCTATCGACACCGGGGTGATAAATAAAATAATATCCGTGATGTGCGGAATGTAACGAAATCGCCAGGACCTGAGGAACTTCCGCGCGAGAATGAGCTTCACTCTAACTATCTTCATCCCCTATATACCAGAGGAACAAATTCACCCCCTGCGACGCCGTCGCGACGCACCTCCTGTCCCTCCACCACCCCCAAGAGATATCTGCACGCAGAATAAAATGAATTGATAAATAAAAAAAAAATATTCCAAGAAATTATTGAACGAGCAATTAATTTAATTAACCCTAATTGCAAAAAAAAAAATTATAATAATAATTGCAACAAAATTTTTAATTATACGAGTCGATTTTTTTTTATTGAATTTCAGTGAAAAATTCGAGTTCTGTTTTTTTAATTTTAATTAATTAGTTAATAATTAATGGTGCTGTAGATTTGCAGTTTTTTACTAATGATTGACCGGTTAGTCGCTGTTCATTAAAATTGTCATTATTATGTTACGACATTGCATACCTTTATCCGGAGGTAATTAAGTCATTGACATTTCAGCCGATACAATTCAATTAAACACCTCGGTGCATTAAAAAGGAATGTTAACCTGAGAATGTGGCGTTCGCCTAATTAACATAAGAGATTTTTATTCACCACCACGAGAATATGCCTCATTGGGTGGAGATGGGGGGCATATACTCTCGCATTTTCCTCTAATTGCTCATAAACGCAGACTGCAGGTTCACGTGGCAATCGAGCTTTTTCACTGCAACATAGTCCTCCTTTTCACTCTCGTAAAAGTCTTAACGCACAACACAAAAAGACAATGAAAGACGAATAAAAGGGGAATAGAAACTTAAGAGGGAAAAAAACTGGGATGAAAATGGAAATAACCAGAGGGAAAACTAGAATATGCAATGCGTATATTTGACATTAAAAATAATCATTAAAGATAATTAAAAAGGGGTATATTGATTGAAACGATTAAAATTCATCATCAATATGGAATCCAGTCACTCAGTTTTTCATTCCCTGTCGCATTTATTCTTCATTCGTAAATGTTTTATTGCAATTTTCTGCCGAAAGTGGGTGGACAGGGGTTGACAGAGATATTTCCCTTTTTTTTCGGAGTTGGGTGTTGACAATCCGTGATATTCCGACTGTTTGATGATAAATTATTGCGCGTGTGGAGATCAGTGATATGGTAATCTATTATTGCTTCATTTCACACGTCGATTTTCATCTCGATTAATCGCCCAATCCATTGGTGCATCAGATTACTCCCTAGAGTTAATTATAATTACTCCAAATTACTAAAAAAAAATAAATTAGCCTCACAGAAAAAATTGGGAACTTGCACATGGCACAGCAATTATCACGCCTCAAAATAAATCCACCAACTAATAAATTCAATTTATCAAAATTCATTTGGTTGGATTTAACGCGGCCATTGAAAAGAAATCGTATGAACTGAAATGGAAGAGAGATAAGTGTTCTTATCATTTTTTTATGTCCGAATACCCAATACCCCAAGGAATAAAAAATGGTAGAAAAAGGGGAGAAAAAAATTCGAATTCACTGTACAATAAATCATTTATTCACTCTAAATCATTTCAATTACTTAAAAATAATGAATTTCAAGAAGGGGAGAGGTGAAACGACCCCAGCTTACTTTCTTCTCACTCGTAATTCAGAAAGAAATTTATTAACTGAGCGTGGGCTGAGATAATTATGAAAGGGGTAAAATTTATTTTTAGAAAGAAAGCGAATGCACTATTTTACGTTGATTATGTCTTTTGGAAAAATAAGGGAGGGAGAAACAATTAATTTGATAATAGAGTGGATATTTTCGAGTTAGTGGGACTCTTTGTATTCCCATTTTTTTCCGTCCTCGTGTCCACCCTTTTTCCCGTATTTGCTCGCCTCCTCGTGATGCTTCTCGTCGCCTTCCTGGTGGTTGTGGCCCTTTTTGTCCTTGTAGTGGTGGCCTTTCTCATGTTCGCTCTTTTTTCCGTGCTCTTCGTATTCCTCTCCCGCATCGTAGTGCCCGGATTTTTCACTTCCGCCGTTTTCTTTCTCGAACTTGTGGTGATATCCTCCCTCTTTCTCGTGATCATCCTCATCGTGGGACTCGTCGTAGAATTCCTCTACTTTCTCGTATTCATCCTGAATTTTTATAAAATATCCTCATGTCGATTTTCCAATTTATTTACAAGTTGCAATCGATTATGTTTAAAAATATCGATAATTTCTTGAAATCCCGAGGAATTTCTCATCGGACTTTTCGGAAATTCTTATCTTATGTAAATTCTCTGGAAAATCCTTCAACTGAAAATATCCCGGGTAAAAAAAATTGTAATCGGAATACTTTCTCCAAATTTTCAAAACTTTTCCGGGAAATTTTTCTTTTGAAACAAAAAAAAAATCGGAAAAACAATTTTATTTCCGGGAAATGTTTTCAAAAATTTTTCAAAAACTTTCCCAAAAAAAAAATTGTTTCTCGATTTTTTTTTCTTTCATAAAAAAAATTCTGATAAGTTTTCCCGAAATTTTTTTCAATTGTGAAAAAAATATTCCGATTACAATTTTTTTTTACCCGAGATAATTCTCGATTCAATAAATGAAATAATTATTATAGGAAAATCCTCGTATGAATTATTTATCTACATCAAAAAAAAAAAAAAAAGAAATCCTCCCCATAATTGTCTTCAGCTCCGTGATCTCGTCCTTCAGTTTTTATCACTATTCAGATATTGAAGCTAAAGGATTACCTTTTTATGGACCACATGATTGCCCTTGGTACTATGACCCTTATTGAATTTTCCATCTTCCTCAAATGCGTCCGCCTTTTCCTTTTTCTCACCGCTATCATAATGCTGATAATACGAACTATCATCCGAGTGTTTATTCTCCTTTCCTTCCTCCTCCTCGTAATGTTTATCATGGTGCTCTTTATCATGATGACCATTTTCACCTTTTTCATGCTCATGATGGCTGTCGTAACCCTTTGACACATGATATCAAAATTTTTTCATTTTCATTAAACGCAATAAATTCGATATACAACTCCTCTAACAAGACATCTCATAAAAAATCCCACCGGAAATACGAAAACACACCGAAGAATTATAAACCACAAATGTTATAAATATATTATAAATAATCGCATGCAACTCGACAATTGAAATACTGACCTTTTTCTCCTCATCCCCCTCGACTTCGTGATGGTCTTCATGTTCCTCTTCAGCACCTCCTTCTTCGTGTTTTTTATTGTGTTCCTCTGGCTGATGGTCCTCCTTCTTCGTGGACTCCGCCACTGCCTCGTGATCATGTTCTTCGTCCTGTCGCCGGACTTGACCCTGAGCCTGCGGTAAAAATGAAGAACCTTTCGTTTTCCGTTTCCTCACAGGATCCAACAGAACTCCCTCATGATAATCCCGATCGTGGTGATTTATCTGTCGATCATTGTCCTCGTACTCCGCTCTCACTTCCGGTCGATTGATCCGCTGACTTTTCCTGAATTTTTTCGTCAGCATCTCATCATAATTGATGTCCTTCCTGGAGTTTGCGTCGAGGATGTTTGCATTAGCAGTATTAATACGGTTTCTTTTAACTGGATTCACCCGTTGTACCGGTGGATTAACCACTGGGCTTACCTCGTATCCGTTTTCATAAATCTCGTGTGCATGTACCTGGGGATTTCCACGATTTTTCTCAACTCGAGCTCCCAGGGGATTCAATTCCAAATGATTGTAGTGAAACTGTTGTTGGGTAGCTGCGATATTCTTGTGGGGATTTTTTGGAATGACGTGGGTGTTTTCGAGCAGATGTATTTTCGGAGTCATGTTCACCGACGGTTGTGGATTATTTAACTTGTAAGGACGAAGTTTCTCTGAGAAGTCCTTGTTTTCCTGGAAGTTACCTTGTTCTTTCGCTCTGACAAGGATTTTCCCGGGCTCATACCCTTCCGGAAAGTCGAGGATCTTTGCGCTGTCAGTTTTTCTGCGAATCTCGGTTGGAAAGATTCTCTCGGAGATGATGCGGTTGTGAGAGTCTGACGAGTGTTGGTCTCTCGGCAGGTGATTCGCGTATTTCTGATGAGCTTTGATGGCCGGATCGAAGACTACAATCGGAGCAAGACTCGCGGAAGCCGAAGCCAATGTCTGTGGGATAAATAAAAATTGGAGATTTCTTCTCGATAGAATGAATTCCGAATTCTTCGAATTACCAGTGCATAGATCCAGAAGAGGATGAGGGCTCCCATGACTTCTGAATAATTACAATTAATCCGTGACTACTTGACTGTCAACCTGTGATTACACTCTGCAATGCCAAGACCAACTGTCCCATTCCGAATGAACGGACCCCTGTCCTAAGCCCATGGATCCAACAGACTTCCTCCTTTCTCCTTTCCCTTCCTCCAGAGATTACCCAACACCTCAATTACCCGAAAATTCAATAATTTCGGATAAATCACGCGGAATTCTGCCGATGAATTCCGATCGATTCCGCTGAAGTGTAACCAATTTGCCGCCACGTTTTCACTTTTGAATTGAATGACGAGGGGAAATGAGATATCACCTGCTGTTGCTTAATCCAAGGGAATCTCTTCACACTCGAGTTGATAACAATTGGCAATGAAAAGGACAACAATATTTAAGATGTCAGACCATCAGAGCGCAAGACAAATTCGGCAAACCGATTTTTTTTTTCAATTACTGAAAACAAAAATATTCCTTCATTACTCATTTGTTCAACAACATCAATTATAATATAATATAATTAATAATATAATAATATCAATTATCAAATGACTATAATTAATATATTATTGATAATCCTAAAGATAGTGTTGATAATGAAATCATCGGGTTATCGATGTATTGTTTATTTATTTAATTAATTCCAGAGAAAAATGAGGGGATAAATCTATCGTCTCGTTTTGTGAATCCATTTCTTTGCCTTCGCATGTCCACTCTTCGATCCATGTACCTCGCCATGTTTATGATGATTTGAATGACCTTCTGCGGCTTTGTGACCTTTGTCATCTAGATGGTGACCACCGGATTTGTGTTTTTTCTTACTGCCATGGTGGTGCTGAAAATTTTTACAGCTCTATCAAATTTAATGAATTACGATAGGGATTCCTTTCGATTTTTTTTTTCGCTGAGAAAATGGCGCGTAACTCGGAGATAAAAAAAATTAGCTGCGCTGATTTGTGAAATGAAGCACATATCTATCCGATTCATTTAGATTTGATATTTAAATTTGAGGGAAAATTTATTTACCTCGTCACCTCCACCGGAACTATGACCCCCACGATGACTCCCTCCTTTTTTATCCTCGTGTTTTTGGAGATATCCCCCTTGTTTTTCCTCTTCGTCACTCTCGTGATACTCGTCGTAAAAATCGTGCTTCTTCTCGTACTCGTCCTTCTTGAAGATGTTGTGCTGTCCCTTGGTGCTGTGTCCCTTGTTGTGCTTTCCATTCTCCTCGAATTCCGCCTCTTTTCCGCCTCTCTCACCGCTGTGTTCCTCTGCATAGTGATCCTCCTCTTCGTGATCCTCCCTCTGGTGTCCTGCTTTCTCGTCGTACACCTTCTTGTGGGTGTCCTTGTCGTGGTGACCCTTCGCCACCTTGTCCGCCTCATGATGCGCCTTGTAATCCTATTAATTAATCAATCATCGCCCCACATGAGTCAAAATTCAATATCAAAACAAATTCACTCAGCTTTCTCTCTACAATCAATTAATAATTACTAAGATAAAAATCAATAATTTTTTTATCAATGGAATCAGAAAAAAAATTATCGAAAAAATTTTCGAGAGAGTTCAATGAAAATTCGATAGATCGTTAATATTTTTCAGTGAATTACAAATATTTTCACCAGAATACCTTTTGAGCTTTCTCCTTGGAAGAATCGTAATGCTCCTCTTCATGAAGACGTCCACCACCTGCTTCAATTCGTTTATCAATATTCTTGGCTCCATCACTAGCAGAAATTTCCGAATCTCTGGTATAGGAGAACCTGAGAGGTCGCCTGCGATAAACAGTGGTCCCCAATGCACCTTCGACAATTATTAAATAAATAATGAAAACAATTAACGAGTACCTGCCAATCATACTGAACCACCGATAATTGTCCAAGGGGCTCTTTCAGACTGAGACCTGGTGGAACCTCTTCGTTCTCGTTATATCAACCTGAAGAATCCGTCTCGATGGTTTTTACTCCAGTTATTTTCCCATCTCCACTCTGTTTTATTGTTCTATTTTTTATTTCCCCGCTCCTTGAAGTCACGTACCGCCTCCCAAGAAGCCACTGATCTCTGCTTTCATCGCTGGTGACACTGGCCTATGAATTACAACGAATCATCGATGAAAGTCCATCAACCGCAATTGATGTACGAGAAGAAAAAAAATATATTACTTCCTGAAATCCCGCACTTTCCCGAGGCTCATAATAATGTGTCTGAATACAACATAGTGGGTGGATATTCTGATAGTAATCCTCAGAGAGATTACAACTAATCTCCAAGCGAAACAAATTCACCACAAAGGTTGTGATTCTAACAGTTTCTCTTTGATGTCATTATACCGACTCTGATGCAATGAATCCCCTCGATATTGCATGTACCATGATATTTTTACCAAACAATTAACGAAATTAAAGTTTCTCGATGGAGATATATAAATAAATAGAAATTCAATCGCATAAAAGGGAACACTTTCTACCAGACTCATAATAGAAATTCCCTGGGAAATGTAGTAATCGAATTATTTAATTTAATAATGCTTTTGCGTTTGGAGAATGGTGAGTCATTCTTGTTGAATTATTTATCCAGGGTGGAAGGTTCCATGTAAATTCTAAAATGTCTTTAATAATTCTCTCGGCAGAGAAGCGGAAGAGATGAGGGAATCAAGTCAGGGAATCAAGAGAACGGGTGGAATGGATGCGGTGATTTGTTGTTCCTAGGGATGACGAGTGTCAGGAACGTCGTCGCTACGTACTGACGAATAAGCTGACACTAACAAGATGTAGATAAGCAAATTATAGTGATAAAGTGGTGGTATTGATGAGCTGCTAACACCCTCGGTCTGTGAGAAGGCCATTTACTTCCGTTTCGTCATTTTCCTGACGGTCTGGAAGTGTCCTCAACATTTATTTTTAAATATGGTAGCAATGTCTGGGTTAAGCCTCGGTAATTGAATTTGTATCATCCGGTATATAAGGAATGGCAATCGGAATTACCACTCGGCCAATTCCACCCCATCGCCAGCCCATGCAGGGTGTCTACCCCTGGCTGTTCACTCCTCACGTCTGTCCTTGGGTGTTTTATTTTATTTTTATTATTTTTTTTTGTTGTTGTCCTGTGAGTTTTGAGTGTGAGTGGATTTTTTTGGATTGCTGAGACGTCAGGATGAGCTCTGCGAAGGAGAAGGAGATCGAGGCGGGGCAGGTGCCTGAGGAGGATGATTACTGTCTTCAACTTCCTCGACCTCTCAGCATCGAGGAGAAGAAGTATCTTTTGGCTGTCGAAAGGGGAGACTTGGCTAATGTTAGGCGAATGCTACAACTCGCTGCCAAGCCTAATAAAGTAATTTGTTTAATCAGTTCCTGGGACACTTCAGGTTTTTTTTTTCAGTGAATCTTAACATTTTCCGATGAAAATTCTCAATTTTACACATTAAATCAGTGGAAAATGTGGATTTTACTTCGATCGTTTTCGGAAAGTCATCGACCGGTCCTTCAACCGATTCCAGTTTTCTCGTTTAATTATTTGAATTATTAATTAACTATTCAATTGCGAATTAGGCAAAGTCCATCGACGTCAACTGCGTGGACAGTCTGGGTCGAGGTGCCCTGACCCTCGCCATCGAGTCCGAAAACCTGGAAATGGTGGAGTTGCTCGTGGTTATGGGGGTAGAAACTCGTGATTCCCTTCTCTACGCAATTGATCAGGAGTTCGTAGAGGCAGTGGAGTTGCTCCTGGAGCACGAAGAGCTGCTGATGAGCTCCGAGCTCAATCAGCATCCAGGTGTGCACTTAATTAATTCGAGGAAGGGTAGAAAAGCTGGGGAATCGATCACTGAATCGTGTGGAGTAATCGGTGAAAATTATTTTGGGACAGGTATAAAAGACGTGACACACAGTTGGCAGAGAATTGATCCAGCAGCTGCTCGATATCCACCGGAGATGACACCCCTCGTTCTAGCTGCTCAGAGAAATAATTATGAAATTCTCAAATTACTTCTCGACAGAGGGGCCACCCTACCAATGCCTCATGATGTCAGGTGTGGATGCGACGACTGTCTTCGAGCGGCAACGGGTCAGAAGAGTTCCTTTCATTTTAAAAATTCATAAAACGAAACAAAAAAATTAATAAATGCAATTTATCCGGCAGGAGATCCTCTCAGACTCTCATCCACTCGGATTTCCGAGTACAAAGCATTGGCTAGTCCCAGTTTGATTGCTCTGAGCTCACCGGATCCCCTGCTGACGGCCTTCCAGCTGAGCTGGGAGTTGCGACTCCTAGCTGTTTCTGAACCTGAGAGTCGTGCTGAATATCTGAAGCTTCGGAAACAAGTGGAAAAGTATAAAATCAGATTATTCTATTTTTTGTCAAGGCAGAGAACCTGAATTTTTTGAAACTTCTCCGTAGGCTCTCGGGATAATTCACTTTGAACGTTTAAATTCAGGTTTGCAGTTGATTTGCTGCATCAGACCCGCAGCACGGCCGAATTAAACACGATATTGAACCACGACCCGGAGGCAAGTGCAACCCAACCCGGCAAACAACTGGCTAAACTCGAACTCGCTATACAGTATAAGCAGAAGAGTTTTGTGTCGCATTCACACATTCAGCAGCTTTTGGCTGCTATTTGGTAAGTTTTTAATGAAATTTCAAACTGAGCACTCGAATTCCGCGTACACAGGTAAATCGGATAATTAAGGAGTCCTGGATAATTTATTTTTACCCGAAATCTACATTATTTTGTACGCTTCAGTATTTTTTATTCATAATTATCGTTCATTATTTTTATTATTAATCACGATTTTTCACGGAAAGATGAAATTACTCTTTTTATCTGTAATTCATAAATTATCGAAAATTACTTTTTGCTTCTTCCTGGGATTATTTCAATTAATTTTTTAAACGTAAATGAAAGGAATTGACATGTTATGAGTAAAAAAAAAATAGAATTTCGTGTAAATTTGAGGTGAAAAAATTGCATTTGTTGAAAATCGCTGAAAAAAAAATGTGCAAAAGGTACGAGGGAGTTCCTGGCTTTCGAAGGATGACGACAACACAGAGGATCGGGATTGTTATCAAGACAGCCCTTCTATTCCCAGTTTATTGTCTCATCTATTGGTTTGCACCCGATTCAAAGATTGGGAGCCTCATGCGCCGGCCTTTCATGAAGTTCTTGGTTCATGCGTCATCTTATCTCTTCTTCCTCCGTAAGTTTGAATTTCCCCAGTGATTTTATCAATTGAGTGGTTTGAATTTTTTGTGTGATTTCGAGAAAATGATGGTTTCACTGTGATTTCACTTCCTCTGCAGTTCTCCTAATGCTGGTCTCCCAGCGTGCAGAGGTCCAGCTGATTCGTTACCTGGGGACAGAGGCGATGAAACGTCAGCTGCAAGAGGACCTGTTAAAACAGCGAGGAGCAGGTGCCACTCCCCTGGAATGCCTAGTAGTGATCTATGTATTGGGTTTTATCTGGCAAGAGACCAGGGAAGTATTCAGTGACGGTCTCAGGGCGTACCTGCGCGATCTCTGGAACTTCATAGACTTCACCAGGAATTCGTTGTATGTCGGGACATTTGTCCTGCGTTTCGCAGCGTACGTCCAGCAGATGACGGAAATAAGTAGCGACGAGTCCGCTAGGTACATCCCCAGGGAGCAGTGGAGTGATTTTGATCCTCAATTAATAGCCGAGGGATTGTTCGCAGCAGCCAATGTATTCAGCGCCCTGAAACTCGTACACCTCTTCAGCATAAATCCACACCTGGGACCCCTGCAGATCTCCCTGGGTCGAATGGTCATTGACATCGTGAAGTTCTTCTTCATCTATACTCTGGTGCTTTTCGCTTTCGCTTGTGGTCTCAATCAGCTCCTCTGGTACTTCGCTGAGTTGGAGCAACGAAAATGCTACGTGGGATATGGAACAGATCCAGAATGGGACGCAGCTAGTGATCCATGTCTTCGGTGGAGAACATTTTCAAATCTCTTCGAGTCCTGTCAGTCTCTCTTCTGGGCATCCTTCGGTGGCATTGGCATTGACAGCTTCGAATTGACTGGTATCAAGTCCTACACTCGTTTCTGGGGACTTCTCATGTTCGGCTCTTACTCAGTCATCAATGTAATCGTTCTTCTAAATCTCCTCATCGCTATGATGAGCGACAGTTACGCGGTAATCGTCGAGCATTCAGACGTCGAGTGGAAATTCGCCCGGACAAAATTATGGATGAGTTATTTCGAAGAGTGTGGTACTCTGCCACCGCCATTCAACATATTTCCACCCCCCAAGCTTTTCTTCCGGTTGTTTGGTGTCACCAAAAAACCGAAAATTGGAAGGAACTCCTCGAGGAGTCGAAGTAAAGAGCATAAATATGGATCTGTGTTGAGAGCACTCATCTGGAGGTACGTTGTGAATGCTCATACCGAGCATGAAATGTCACCAGTCACTGAGGACGACGTGCACGAGGTGAAGAGTGATATCTCCAGCTGGAGGTGTGAACTCCTTGACATTCTCCAGCGCAATGGCATGGACATTGGTTCGGTGAATGTCAAAGACAATGCAGTACTGGGGAAGAGGATGAAGGTGTGGGAGAGAAGATTGATGAAGGACTTCCAGGTGTCAGCGCCTGTGGGAATGGAGGATAATGACGAGGCTGAGGAACTGGGGGAGGTAAATGCCGAGTCAGCAGAGCCTCCAGTTGATGAGGAGGCCAGAGAAAAGTGGAGGAGAGTTGCGAGACTTGCTGTTCTCAAATCAGCTGATCGTAGGTGGGGACAGGTGATTCAGTGTGCAGTGAAGAGCTCGCAGATTGGGAGGAGCAATAGTAGGGCGTCATTGCAGAGCCAGAAGAGCCTCCGGAAAGCTATGGAGGAGGCCAGGAAGTTGAGGGCCAGATCACCCTTGCCAGCTGTCAGTCCTATCAAGCTTCCAGTAGGTACGACTGACAATATTCTCCGAGTCCTCAAGGATATCAATGAGGATGACAGGTCACGCGCAGAGTCACCTGACAAAGGATTCTCACCGGATGTCTCACCCCAGGGGACCATCAGCTCGAAGCTCATGGCAACTGTCGGTTATGAGGACGAGAGGGACAAGAAGAGTCCTCAGCCTCTGTTACCCTTCAAATCGTCACCCCCGAAAGTTGTTAAACGAAGAGCTCCTGGTGTCGCTCTCCCTGGAGCACCTGGAACACATGGAAACATCGGAATTCCTGTTAGTGCACCCGCCAGTCGTCCCGGGACTGTCGACGTCAGTAGAATGAGACCAACGAGCCCTAAACCACGGCCCAACACTCTCGACAAAATTCCCAATAGACCAAAAACACCCCCCAAGCTTGTGGTGCCTTCCGAGGGACTCAGCCCTAGACGATCTGGACCAATTGCTGGGACAGGAGATTCCTCTGCCCTCAGGGGAAGACCCAGAGCTTCGGGAATGCCTGGAAGTCCCAGAAAATTCTCCGAAGTCACTGTTATCCCTCACACACCTGTGCTGGCAACTTCTCAGAGGAACGATGACAAGTGCAGACTCGTGAATGCCGAAGCCAGGTCACCCAGAGTCAGGTCTCCCAGACGTGGGGGGTGGCTGTAAATTTGGAGAGGTGTTTCATAATCGATTATACGTTAATTCAGCTATTAAGTTATTCAGCTGTTCGGATTGTTCTCGAAGATTTCGGAGAAGTATCAATGATGTTTCGAAAAATTACACTGATATTTTATTGTCATTGGAGAACAGTATGATTATTATACATATTAAAATTTATTCATTTTTCTGATAATTACATGTAACATCCCTTAGTTTACTGTTTTCTTTTTTTTCTTTTTGCTTAAGGTAGAATAAAATGTGACACATCTTAACTGAATCGTGTTGGAATTCTCGAATACCTGTGGATGAGAAAATCATAGATCATAGTTATGAGGATATTATGAGAATATTTTTACGCGGCCTGGACGACTTTCGTCTGAACGACCTTCTGGGCAGAGCTTATTTTATCACCGAGGGAGAGGGCCATTCCCTGACTCTTCGCACGTATTCTAATATGGCCCACTACCGGGGCGTCGGGTTTATTCAGGGGTTTCTCAATAGACAAATTGGCAAGGGCGTCTTCCCCAAATATTGATTTCGCGTACATATTCGCTGCCATGAAGCCACACTGTCCAGATAATGCCTGAGGAAAGAGAAATTTTAATGTAAATATTTCAAGATGAATCAGTGGACAGTTGAGGGATATTTTTCGGGATTTTACTTTTTCTGGGGTGACACAACGCATGTTCGTGGACTTGAGCAGGTGTGCTAGGTATTCTCTGAGGTCTGCAAGAGTTGTGTTCACTGATATTTTATTCTCCCACTCGAATTCAGCCCACATCTGCCGAAATTCGGCGTCTGTGCAGGTTGCCGGCACGATGTAATCCATTATATCGATGTGGATGTCGTTCAGGACCACTACCGATCTGTCCGATCCAGCCCCAGACACGTCGTAAACTGGAATTATTTATGCGAATGATAAAAAAAATTTCACATAATGCTACGAATAAAATAAAAAATTTCATAAGAAAAACAACAATTCTCACCAATATTTCCAAAGATAATTCCATTCTCAGTAGATGCCACCTTGACATTCGCCTTGATACTCGCAAAATCTCTGGGTGCGAGTACAATAGGCTGTGGTCTCTCAACGAGCTTGAGATCCCCCATAGTGGCGAGCTCCAAAGTGCAATTCTGAAGAGTGTCCTCAGTCTGATTGACAATGAGAACATCCAGTACAATATCATACTGATTGACGTGAACAAGAGCTTCAGCATAAACAGGATCAGAGAAACCAGTGAGCTGTGTGACTTTGCTGAGGGCACTGGAGGTGGGTGCATCAGCTCCACCACTTCCAGGTCTTCCAGCCACAGCAGCAGAGAGACTCTGTTCGAAGACATCACCAGTGCCCCCAGCAAGATCGGCATTTTTGTTCAACTGGACAAATTGAATGGCGTCATCGACTTGAACGACATTTCCCGGTTTTTCCTTGGCTTTTTGATTCTGGGAGTCCTCCTCAGCCTTGGCAGCGAGCATTCTGCCAAGGGCATCCCTGCAGCCCTCAGTGAATACTTGCTGAACGAGAGGAGTAGGACAGGCGAGTGATCTGAGACAAAGGGAGATCCTCTCAGCATCATCGTGGGTCATAGCCTTGGAGGCCAGACCAGAGCGTCCCAACTGCAGAATACTGGACATTATGAGCATCGCCTCAGCCTGCATCCTGTTATTCTTCTGGTCGTTGCTCTCGAGTGTCTTGTACCTCAACGCTAATTTGGAAAGAGTAGTGGCCAAGGACGCCCCAATGAAGAAATCCCCATCCATCATGTACTGCACAAGGGCAGGTCGTTTCTCCTCCTTCTTAGCACTGTCTGCAGTGCTGAAAGCACTCTGGGAGGCATAAGTACCATCAGATGTGACGAGCTGAGCTGGTTGCACCTGGGTATTGCCATCCTCATTGGGCTTATCCCCAGCCTGTCTCTTGTTCTCAGCCTCGACGAGTGGTAGATCCCCGAGGGCAGCCCTAATACGTCCCATCAGACTCTCAATGTCCTCCTTCGATGTGGCATATTCACCTAAAATCCACAATGCCCCCCTGTGCACCTTGACTGATCGAATATCCTGGAAAACCTCTAGCAACTTCTCAATAATCTGGGGACGTAGATTTTCAAACCGTTGGATCGCCTCCCTGATGAATACCAGAACATCAGTGGCAGCTGCTTCATCATTCTCAGAGAGAAAGTCGACGAGAACTGGGATAACAGTCCCTGCAACATCTGGGAATTTTATCGAACAAGTGTGAAGTGTTCTCACAAGCAGTTGTCTGTACTTTCCAGCGTCTTCGTGCTCTCCCCCTGCAGTCCTGAGGATTTCCTTCTTCAGAAGTTGCACCATCTCCTCGATGGTTCTCGTAGTGACGAGATCAATGGCGAGGGCGAGGGTTTTCGTTCGTACTTCGAGGGCTGGTGAACCGAGAACCCTCAGAACGTCCATCACGAGATCCTGGAGGACTCGCTCGTGCTGGGGACTCTCTTTCATGGCAATCAAACGATCGAGGACGATGAGTTTGACATTGTTATCACTCTCCTTGACGACGAGGTCGATGTAGCAAGTGGCAGCTGCTTTAATGGCGGTGGGGGCACTCGAGAGTGTCACCAGGGTGCCAGCGGATTCGTAACGAACAGCTGCACTGGGGGAATTTAAAAGGCTGTAGATACATCGAATGAAACGAGCTCTCTCCGAAGGATTTGCCAGGCAGACCTTGTAGATGAGCTCCACGATCACCAGTTGCAGGATATCACCGAATGTTGGTACGAGATCGAGACAAGCTGCAAGATAAGCAAGTGCTCGACTCTGATCTGCATGGAGTAGCATGAGAAATGCATTACGACGACACGACATGTCCTGCTCGCCCTCCAGGTACTTGGCAATCAGCTCTGGAGCGTCTGGAATGAGAAACTCGAAGTTCCTGTAGATCGTGAAGATGGCGAGGACTGCGTTACGACGTACATATGAGTGACGGTGTTCCAGACAGGCGATTATTGCTGGCATCAGAGGCTCCAGCAACTCTGGCTCCTTCAATTTGCAGAGAAATCGAAGAGTCGAGCCTCTGACGTACTCATTCGGGTGCTGAAGGTCTTTTCTGTAGGCGTCGCACACGAGGATCATCTCCTGGAGTAGTTTTCCATCTGGTGAGGTCTTCGGGACTATTTCCCAGAATATCAGGAGGAGCTTTTTGATCGTGTGGTCCTGCAGGGGCAGGACGAACCTGATGATCGTCATGAGGAGGCCAGGGAGACGCTCACCACTCAGGATCATATGAATCGTCTTCTTCAAGGCCTCAATTTTTATCGGGACATCACCCTTCTCCAGGTCCTGCTTCATCTGCAGCTCGTTTATTGGCTCCGAGTCCGCTGGAATGTTCATCAGGGTGTAGCATGGCTGCTCTGCTATGCTGCTCATCTTGACCAGTGCCAGAGGACGTCCTCCAGGTGAATCTGAGGGTCCAGGTGGAAATTCACGTGGAGATAGCGATTCTTTAAGGGGCAGGGAGTGAAAGACTTCACACAGAAATCAGAACGGAAGATGGAGTGGAAGGTTATGACCAATCGGAGTCAATCCACTGAGTAAATTATAAGCGCAATAACCTACGTTGAGAATTAATTACTCACCAGTTTTTATCGTGAATTATCCAATTATTGTCTCTTTTAACGTCGAAAATTCATTTAGAAACAAAAATACGATTCCGTCAAACGAGCATACGTGTCAAAACGCCCATACGCTGCACCAATGACTGACAATAATTCGTCGGTTCAGCACCGCGTGGCGCCAGATGAGGATTTCAAAACCCTCACAATTGTGGACACGAAAAAAATCGTAAGAAATCGAGGAAAAACCCCTACCAGTCCCCAAATTCCCCAGAATAATGATAAAAACCCGATTATTCCCCCCCGCAAACGGGGGACTCTGCAATTTCGTAATTCATTAATTCAAAATTGGAATCTTCAAAAAAGCGGAATTATTCGAAAAAAAATTGAATAGTCCGGTCGAATTGAAAATATTTCGAATCATTTTAGCGTGATAGATAAATAAATTATACGCAGTTCACCGCATTTTTGCGGTAATCGATTCCCCTGTTGTTGAATTCCTGAGATTTTCCTTGGCAGTTTTGATAATTATTATTTTATCGTAATTTTTCTATAAAGCGATGACCTCATCTTGCGGAATGAGGTGTTCATCTATTATTGATTAATTATTTTAATTAATTATGTTGGGAGAGGGATCTTCGGATCGTGGATTGATAGTACGGTAAATTGAATTTATTAGTTCTGTAATTAATTCGGTAATTGGGTCAGGGTGACGAAAATACTTGATTTGGATGGATCGAGTGGACAAAGAAATACGGAGTTTCCACCGTATCTATCTGGATAAAAAGAGAGGAAAAACAAATTCCTTACGTGTGACGGTGTCAAGGCGCATTTTCCTTCGAAGTCATACTTTCCGACAATCAGAAATAAACAAAATACCAATTAGATTGTACGCGCACACGCCATCGAAAAAAGTGCCTTTGCTGTGACAAACACGTTCGAAGGATAAGGTGAGACGTTTAAAACTGCAATGCACGTGAGTTTAATCATCAGGTGTTGTTTAGCGTTCCCTAAGGTCGAGAGAAAATTCAGTCTGAAAGAGATTATTAAAGTCGAAATGTTCTCGTGGAGTCCTCGCTCTTCTCTCGTCATTGTCTTCATTCCGGTTGTTATTGGATTTTTTGTGGATTTTAGTGGTGCTAATGATCAATGCAAAAACAAGATGATGAATATTGTTATGAAGGTGTGCAGTGGTGCAGGAGTTAAGAGCAGGCGAGACATTGAAGATCATTGGGCTGTCCCACATTCAAGTGAGATGAATTTTTTATTCGATTTTTTTAATGGAATTCTTTATACTTACGATGGAATTTTAGAGTTGTATTTTTTTTAGCGATCAGAGGGAAATTCGTTCATCGTCTCCAGAAGCGACAGCAGCCACGGGAATTCGATCCCTTTGTCGGGTCTCCAGGAGATCTACCTGGTGGTGCAGTACCTCCTGTACCGGTGGTTCCTCCAGAATCTCATTTTGGTAATCCTCCGCGGGATCAACGATTTATTGGACTTCTCCAACAGGTAATTATCAGGCAGATAACATTAAGCTGATTAATTTAGAGGACTTCATTATGTAATTAATATCTGCGAATTTAAGAGAGATACCGAAATTTTTATAAGAAGCTTTTTTGTAGAACTCATTCAGTTCTATGAAAAAGTGTTCATAAAAAATTTCACTATTTCTGGTAGATTCCGAGATATTCCCCGAAAACGCACCGATTGTCTATTTCTGATTTTTAATTACTGTATAATTAATGGAACTTGAAAAATTATGCAGGAAGCTAATATCGGCCCTGAGTTGAAACCGAATATAGACGAGTTAGATGACCTTTACGACGAGCTCTCAGAGAGATTTCCACGTCAATTGAAGGACAACGAGAAGATGCGAAAGATGTTTTTCGATCTTGCTGACGAGTGCTGTCGACATGACGTCGACTTGTGCTTCGAATCGAGTAAACTATTGAAATGTGTATGACAAATAAAATTCTCCTATCCCTCATGAACTTGTAAATATGATTTCTGACGAATAAATAATTTATCGGCCCGATTTCCCGGTTCCTGAACGAATAATTAGATGCATCAGCTCAAAGAAGAAAATGCGGATGAAAAATTCACAGCTCTGAAAGCATGCGCCTCCCCTTCATCTCCATCTCTCTTATCCCATCGGTATCACTTCCCCAGAAATGCGAGAAGTACTGAAATATTTTACTCTACTCCTCCTCTTCAATTTTTCCCTGGGAAAAACGAATTTCCTCTTCATCATCGTCGACGATCTGCGCCCAGTCCTCGGGTGCTACTCAGATGGAAAATCCGTCACTCCAAATATCGACAGACTTGCAAAAAATGGAATAACTTTTAATAAAGCCTACGCACAGGTTAGAAATCAATTAAAAATTAGGAAAAATCATCTCTTTTTGCCTATGCAATGATTTCATCACTCGAATTTCAGCAAGCACTCTGCGCTCCGAGTAGAAATTCTTTTCTGACCTCCCGGAGGCCGGATACTCTTCGTCTTTATGATTTCTACAGCTACTGGCGACAAACCGCTGGCAATTTTACAACTTTGCCGCAGTACTTGAAGAATCACGGATACATGACAGTGTCCATAGGAAAGGTTTTCCATCCAGGTAATTCAGTCTTATTTTCCAGAATGTTTCAATTTATTTGCTCACCTACATTCATTAATCTAGTCTTAAAAGTAACAAATTAAATGTTCTTTCCACAATAATTACGCATTTAGGAATCAGTTCGAACAATTCAGACGACAGTCCTTACTCCTGGAGTCGAGAGGCCTTTCATCCAGCCACAAATCGGTACAAAGACAGTCCCCTCTGTACCTCAGACAGTAACAAATTACCTGCCCGCAATTTGGTAATTTGTTATAAATTTTTAAACGATTTTATTCATCCTTAATCATGAATTCAAGTTTTCGGGGAATAATTTGGAATCTAAAAGAGATAGCGAATTGTTGTCTGGACAGAAAAAATTATTATAAAAAATTCAGTACATGAGTTTTTGAGATATTACTCGAAAATTTCGGTATCGCGATTGAATACTCGTTATCTCCTTGTTTCTGAATTATCCTGATGCAATAATTACGAGAGCAGGATTTATTTACACTGCAACCTTGATTCTTCAGGTGTGTCCAGTGGACATTCCGTCGATGCCCTTGGGAACTCTACCCGATATCGAGAACTCGGAAGCTGCCAAGAAATTTCTGAACGATTATAAAATCAATTTAAAAAAAAATAATGGGGATAAACCGTTTTTCTTGGCTGTGGGCTTTGAAAAACCGCACATCCCGTTGAAACACCCTAGAGAATACTTAAGTAATACAAAAATCAAGAAGCAAAATTAAAAAAAAGAGAAATTCAATTGCCAAATTAATTATTTCTTATATTTTCGATTCCTAGGGCTTCACCCTTTAGAAAAATTCAAACTGACCGATTACTATTGGCCTGATAATGTCAGTAGTGTCGCTTACAACCCCTGGACTGATTTAAGGGAACGAGAGGACGTGAGGAAGCTGAACCTGACATTCCCCTGGGAAAAAATCCCCGAGGATTTTGGGAAGACTATTCTACAGTCTTACTACTCCTCAGTATCGTACATCGATCAGTTGATCGGAGAAATTATCGCAGAATTAACGACTTCAGGGCTTTATAATAATACTATTGTTATCCTGACGTCTGATCACGGTAATAAATTATTATTTTCAAACAATTTGAACGCTTCAGTATTGAAGTTCACGATAAAAAGAAAATTTCCGGGTTCTAAATTCCTCTAATTTTATAATTGTAATATTGCAGGCTGGTCTCTGGGTGAACATTCTCAATGGGGAAAATACAGTAATTTCGACGTAGCTGTTAGAGTACCCCTGATCGTGTCCCTCCCAGGACATTATTCGAATAATTTCTCATCCGCGAAAAAAATAAAGACGAATGCAATTATTGAATTAGTCGATTTATTTCCCACAATCGCTGAGTTGTCCGGTAATCCCATAGATGTTTGTCCTGAGAACAAATCTGAGATCACGTGCAGCGAGGGAATCAGTTTCGTCCCAGTTATCAACGCCATTTTACATAATAAGGTATCTTGAAGAGTAATTAATGATGGTGGGATAAAATTGACGGTTTCAATTTACAACAAATGCTCAGTGCGAGGGTGTTTTAATTTTCATCTGTCGTAAATTGAAATCGAATAGACAGTGTCAAAGTGATACAGATGATTTTGATGACAATGAATATTTAATGATTTATTTCAGACAGTTAAGTGGAAAAGAGCTGCATTCAGTCAATATCCACGACCTGGTGCAATACCAACGTGGTCACCAAACAGTGATAAACCACGTCTTCATCAGATCACAATAATGGGCTACACATTGCGTACAAAAAGTCATCGTTACACAGCATGGATTAAATTTGATAACGTGACATTGACGAGTGATTGGAATACACTGATTGCTGATGAGCTCTACGATCACACGTTAGATCCCCATGAGATGATGAATCAAGTCAATAATACTGATTATCTGACAATTAAAAATAAACTAAAAAAGCTACTGAAGAATGGATGGAGACAGAGTTTTCCTCGACACATGTAATCAGTTACATAAATCATAATAAATTTATTTTATTACAATTAAACCGCAATAAATGTAAATAGAAAAAAAAACCTATGATAATAGATAATCGACTGCTTACAAAAAAAATTTCTGATTCCTACACTTTTTGTTTTCACGTCTGTTTGAGTCGAAGAAAAAAAAAACAATTGTTACTCGCTATAATCCTTTCTCACAACTGGAAAACTATTGGTGTTGTGTTTCAATTGAGGGATATTTAATCAGGGTTGAGGGAATTCGTCCATTACCTCTTCTTTTGAAGATTAGGGATTCTCTCGACAGCGATCTTCTGCGTCTTACTCTTCTTGATACTTTGATGGGTTACCTTGAGCCGATGACGACTGGGCTGCACTTGGAATTATCTCGAGAATATCAGGATTGTCGACAGGATTGGCCCTGCCTTGCAGAGTATTGGATCGCCTAGCAAATGGATTAGGATTCTTTGAACTCCTCTGTGCAGCTCCAGGAACACTCTTGAAATTGCCATGTTGCTGAGCATAAAGTAACTGCCTCTGGTAAGCAGTCTGCTTAGCCTGCTGATGATGCCTGGTGTACGCCTCCTGAGCCAGCTGATTAGCCAGAGTATTGGTGGGATTGGAATACCCCGCAGTAGCTGCTCCCATTGGGACTTGAGGCACCCTATTGGACATCACCGCCTGATTCTCAACATAATTATACATATTCATGAGTGTCTTAGTGGCTGATATTCTCTGCTGTTCAGGTGTCATTTTAGGAAAGTCCTTCTCATAGAAACTCTGCAGATAATTGAGTTCAAGCTGTGTGGGATTGCCATTGGGGAACGCCCCCATCATCTGTGCATTATAAAGCTGTAGCATCTGCTCCTGATAATTAAATGGAAGATTCATGGTTGGATTGACAGCTGGTCTTCCAGCCTTCTCCTGCTCGTACTCGAGCCAAGCCTGTTTCCTCTCCTCCTCGTCCAACTCTTCATCAGCCTTATTCTCCAGCAGTGAGTCATGCTCATGGAAATTAACGACGATATCCTTGTGCTTAGAGAATATCTCAGCTAGCAGTCTGTCCTTGGGGCAACCAATGGTCTCCCGTGTATCTGGTGGTATATCCAGTTTGTACAACTCAGCTAGATCTGAGTTTGTGTAGTGCCTCTCGATCTGCTGCTCATCCACAACTCGACAGGATAAAGATAATTTTGTCACCTGTCTGTTGTATATCTTCTCCTCCATGGTCCCAGCGGCCAGAAGTCTGTACACATAGCAGGGCTTCTTCTGGCCAAACCTGTATATCCTGAAGATACTCTGAACATCGTGAGATGGATTCCAACTGGCGTCAAAAATAACAACTCTGTTGGCAGCTGTCAAATTAATACCGAGACCACCAGCTCTCGTTGATATCAGGAATAATCTTGCTCTCGTGTTGCTTGGCCTGTTGAATTGCTTGCACCAGAGGCTCCTGTTCTCTGTGTTGGTTTGACCATCGAGCCTGAAGTAGTCGAGTCCGAGGGACCAGCTGCCAGTGTGTCCATCGATCAACTCCGAGGAATTGCCCTGCTGTGTCTCGTCGTCAATCACTGAGAGAAATCTCTCGATCAAAGTGAGAGAATAAAGGGACTGAGAGAATACGAGAACTTTGTCCCCGATATTCTCACTCTCCTTCAGGATCTCGAAGAGAATTCTCAATTTACCTGATATCCTCAGATCCTCGAAATGCTCTTCCTCAACGAATTGTGTCCACCACTCTTGCTCCTGCTGAGGCTCTTGCACCTCCGCTGTCACCAACTCCTCGATATCAGCATTGGCTCTTGTATGTTTTTTAACAGGGACGTCACTTTTCTTGCTCTTGGAACTACTCGTTGAGGCAATGCTGGTGTCACTCTTGCTGCTGTCCTCGTCACTCCCATCGTCTATAAAATCCTTGAGAGAGCCTTCAGAATCACTTGCCTCACGCATCTTCTTCTCAGCAGTCTTATCAGCATTCAGTTTGATTGCTATTGGATGTGTCCAAATACGTTGAAGTGCCTGGAAATCGGCGAATAACGATCCACCGGCTCCCTTGTGCCTCCTCGCCAAGTTATCGATGTAATATTGATATAACTTCACCTGGATCTCCGACAATTTAACAAAAATCACGTACTCTTGTTTGGGAGGTAAAAATGGCGTAAGTACTGAGTAATCAAAACGCTGAACACTGCCCTCCAACATCTTGTGAAGCACGTGAGCCCTCTTCTTCATCAACTTGACGTCGTACTCAGTGGAATCGTCAAACTGGCCATTCTGTATAGGATTGACGAATCTGTTCAAAAATTCCTTCTTGGTACCTAGTAAATTTGGCTTGACAAACTGTACCATGCAGTGATACTCTGTTAGATTATTCTGCAGGGGAGTTCCAGTTAGGACAATTCTCCTGAGCGTTTTAATTTTGCTCATGGCTTTGCTGATGGCTGTGGTCTCGCTCTTCAGCAAGTGTCCCTCATCACAGATAACTAAATCAGGTCCAGGCGCCACGAGGCACTGAAGGAAGGCCTCCCCCATTTTTTTGTTGATCTTCTTGACGGGGTTAGAGAGATTCCTGTACATCTCGTATCCCAGGATCATGACACCACCAGTCTTCTGCCATCGTCCAAGCTGGAATCTTCTGTCAGTATTCAGTTTGAACCTTGTCAACTCATAAACCTCGACATCATCCCCATCATTCACTTCATTCAACCAGATTTTGAACTCATTTACCCAATTCAATACTGTGCTCAGAGGGCAAACAACTAGAACAGTTCGAACTCCAGTCTTCTCACTGTTCACCAAAAGGGTATGAGTCAGGGTGACAACCTGGAAGGATTTTCCAAGGCCCATGCAGTGAGCTAGAATGCAGCCAGAGCCTGAAGTGGAATTCGCACGTTCCAGGGACTCGAAGCAGGCGTCCCACATGAATTTAATCCCCTGCGCCTGATGAGGCTTGAGCCTCTTCACCAATGCCTCGTGGACACTGAGAAGCTCCTCCTTCGAGTCCTCGTCAAAATCCAGAATCAGCTTGTCGACTTTCTCCTCACCAGCCAGTCTCGCCTCGTACAACTCATTGTACAATTTCTGACGTTCAGCCATTCTCTTCAATCTCTCCTCCTCCTGCTTGGCAGCCTGCTTCGTATCGTCCGCAACTTTCGTGTCCTTGATGACTTTCCTAATGTTTTTTCTGCCAGACTTTGTGGGAGAGCCCTGAGAGGTGTTGATCTCCTCGATGTCACTGTCACTGTCTGTCCCAGCTGTTCTCACTCGACGTCTCTTCGGCTTAACGCGACTATTCGTCGCTGATGAGTCATTGGAGTCCGAGGAGTCATTCATCTTCTTCAATCTTCTTTTTCCCTTTTTCTCCGATTTCACCGACTTGACAGAATCACTTGAGGGCTCCTCGTCCGTTAACTGAATATCCGAATCTGAGTTCAATCTACGTCTCCTTACTCTCTTCTTCTTCTTCGTCTCGTCCTCGAGATCAGAATCGTCTGAGTCTTTCTGGGATAATTTTTTTACCTTTTTATCGAATTTCTGGGACTGTTCCTCCTCATCAGACGATGACAGCTTCATCGTCAAGAGTTTGCTCTTCTTCCAGTCAGCTTTCGTGCTCCTGGAGGATGTACTCTCGTCAACGGACTTCTTCGACTTGACCTTCTTGTTGTCACTTTCCGCTGACTCCTCGTCCGAGGATAGCACCACTGGTTTGTCCTCATCCGACGTATCCAGAAGAGCATTCTTCGCTAGCACCTCTACGTTGTCCTGGAGATCACCAGATGCCTGGGATTTTTCACCTGCATCAACTTCCTCCTCACTACTGGTACCTGTCTCCATATGCTCACCATTCACGTTGAGATGATCAGCGAGGGTCTCAGAGTCTTTAGACGTCTTCTTCCTCGCTCTCGATGTCGACGTAGCATCGGATGTCTCTGAAATATTCCCTTTGTCTCGTTTGCGGGTCTTCTCAAGGCCATCTAGAGTCGTCAGACTGAAACGTAAAACGCCAATTGCTTTGGTTACGATTTTTTCAGGACGACATCATTTCCACCCACCACAAATATGAATAACCCTGAGGGAATTTAGGATAATCAGGAGCTCGCAAAGCGAAAATTTGTGGACAATAATAATTCGCTTTATTCAGTCCAACTGAATTTTATTAGTAATTAGCGATGAATGAAGAATGATACAAGCAGAAAATAATGTAAAATGAAAAATTAATTAGTACCTTCTGAGAGCTTTGTCTTCAAGATATTCTTTAGATTTTTTCAAAGCCCTCGCATGCCGCCTGAGAATAACATTCGAGAGCCTGTTTACCACCACCGAGCACCCCAGTTTGAGCTTTTCGTCGTTTTTGAAGAATTCCGATTTCTTCATATCGAGTTTTCGTCTCTTGACCCGTGGGGACGAGAACATACTGTCTGAATCATGATGGCTGGAATCCACTGGCCTCGTCAACAGTCGTTTCTTCTTCACAGAACCCTCATTTTCATCTGACGATGAATTCAAAAGGTATTTCTTGGCATTTTCCTCAAGATCTTTTGATCCAGATGAGGCAGATTTTTGTGATTTGCCTTTAAGATATGGGGCAGCAGCTTCAGTACCAGAATCAGATTCCCCTGTTTTTTTCATCTCTGTTCTGTCTCTGGTTTTATCAGGTCGTTCCGCAGAGCTGTAATTTCCAGACTCCACTAGACTCCCTGAATTGACATCTACTGAGGAGCAGTCCGAGTCCAAAAGTGCCTCCTTCGCCCTCTCCTCCATTCCCTGAGAGACAGGACCATCTGATGCTTTATCAGAACTTATCTCTGGCACGAGGGGAGAGTCGTTGGTGGTCTCCTCGATATGGGACACCTCCGGCTCGGATATCTCGACTGTTCGATCCATCTCTACCTCGTCTGAAGATGAAGTCATGAGGGCCTTCTTTGCTCTCTCCTCGGCATCGGTGTCCCGTTTGTCCTCGGATTTCTCGGATTCGTCGAGAGCACCGGTTTCATCAATACTTGACAACGAGTCAATCGTACGTGATGATTTTTTCAGTATCTCCTCGTTTACAGAAGCCTCCGACGACGATCCTTTTTTCGTGGACTCATCAACAGATTCATTAAACGAGTCATCGGATGACGACTGTAAGAGATATTGTTTAGCGTGTTGCTCATCAGAAACGTCTTTGGGTGGCGTATTCTTTGAGTCCTCCACAAGTTGATCTTGGATTATTGTCTCAGCGTTTGAAATATTTGAATGCTGTGAAAGTTCTGCAGCTGAATCTTTGCTGTTGTCGCGTTTAACTGTCAATTGAGTACTGCACACCTCATCATTTGCTGTCATGAATGAACCGTCTGAATTCTCCTGTGAATTGTTCGTTTGATGGTCAGTATTAGAAGCCTCAAAAGACAATGGCTGTTCCGTAGCCGATTCCTCGGGTAATTCTATCGAGTCATGTGAAGACGAAAGAGATCGCTTCCGCTTTTTCTTTTTACTATGTGTATCTGGAGATGAGTCCTCTTGCTGAATGGAGCTTTTAGATTTCTTTGACTTGGTATTTTTAGCTGGTGACTCTACAATCGACTGCAGACTGTTGTCTTCCTCGATAGAAGGGCCTGCCTGGTCTGTGGATTTATCACTGGAGTTTGCGGTTATTTCTTCTTGATTTTCAGAGGAATCAGATTCGAGAAGAGCTTCTCTGGCCCTCGCCTCGGAGGATCTCGACTCGATTCCATCGTCAATTTTTTCATCTTCTGATTGATTGAGGTTTGAAGAAACTAGATTAGATTTTTTATTTTTCTTTTTGGTTGATTTCATAAGTCGTTGGTCGTCGGCAGAAGAGTCCTGAGACTTATTCTTTCTCTCGTCTGAGGAAGAACCTGAGTTTTTGATCGATGAAGAATTCTTCCTCCTTTTCTTCATCTCTGATTTACTCTTCTTTTTTCCCTCTGATGATCTCGGCGATGCTGTATTGGCTCTCATCTTGGAACTGGCATCATCATCAGAATCACCGCTGGACGATAGAATCCTGTTTTTTTTCTTCTCACTCTCCTTGAAATTCTTCTCTTCACCCTTCACATTCTTTTCTTCACTCCCACTGTCAGAGAGTGGTAAATGCTCTAGCGATTCCTTGCGGGAGTTCTCTTTTTTCTCCCTCGACTTCCTTGACTTTTTACTGCTCTTGGGACCTGGGGAGGAAATCTCATCATTCGAGGATGCCACTTCCCTCTCTTTTGACTTTCGCTCCGTTTTTATCTTTCCTTGCTCTTTGGCCTCACACTCAAAATCAGCAAATATGTCCTCAGAGGACCCCCTAGAGTTCACTTTCTCGGCACCCCTGGCTTCAGCTCCATCCACAACCTCTGGGCTACGCGACAATCTAGCCGATGAAGATTCAGGACTCTCAATATCACCTGTGCCAATCTCCTCACGAACTGGCGAGAGAATTTTATCTGTGCTTCTGCTAGGATGCGTCTCGTCCTGACTAAATATCTCAGCAATCTCACATTCGGAGACGTCAGGAGTCTTCTCCACCGAAGACGCCTGGCCCTTACTCCTGACATTGTCTTCATCCTCCTCATCTGAAGACGGAATAACGTTACTCGACTTGACTTGCTTCCTCGTGCGAAGAGTATCAAAACCACTGCGTAATGGAGAATCCGAGTCATCGATCCCATTGGCGCTAATGAAGATATTCTTAACTTTGTATTTTTTACACCAGCTATCAAACCTGTCAACCAGAGCGTGTTCATTATTATTGATCTTCTTGGTGAAGGCTGAAGCAGTGGTTTTGCACTCGGCGATCCACTTGGTGGCCTCCGCCGGTCTGATCATCTCCTTCTGGGAATACTGACGTTGAAGGGATTCAGCAACATGTATCATCTTCTTGGATGTGGACTTGAGGTTATTAATGAAGTCCTGGATGGAGTTTTTAAGCGAGAACATTTGTTGCTTTGTGAGAATTGTCCCCTCAGGGCTGCCAGGCTCATCAGGGGGGTGGGTGAAATCTTTTTCACCGATAGAGAGTCTCTGCAGGGGTACGTAGCTCTCTCTGATGAGTTTTGTCTGTGTAAACTCCTTCCCAGAACTCGAGTCTGAATTCTGTCGCTTTACCTTCTGACATGACTGGGTGATACCCTTGGTTGAGCCCTTTCTCGAGTCCGAGGACGCTCCTCTGGTTCTTCTGACGGGTTCGGTCGTCGAGAGCTTGCTGTGACGACCCGACGACTCTGGACTCGAACTCCTCTCCACTGAACTCCTCTCTGACGATGGCTTTCGTTTCGAAGTCGTTGACGTTTTCAGTTTGAATGATTTTTTGGATTTTTTCACTGATACTATCTCCAAATTATCATCACTATCTTCAATCTGATTCACCGTTGTTTTCGATGCATTTCTGGTTGGCCTCCTCGTTGGAGCATCTGATGACGGCTTTGTCACTGACTTTCGTAATACTCTGGGTCTCTTTTCAGAGGCCATCTTGGCTTTTATATTATCAAGGTAGTCTTCATCGGAGGATTCTTCACGTACCGTTTTTTTTTTCTTCTTCCTTCTGAAACACAAGTTTCCCAGTCCAAAAAATTTCACTCTTCCATGGGATTTTTTTACTTGCATGCATGTTTCAGAATTCTTCTCTCTTTTTTTTTATTTTCATTTATTGGTACGGTTTTATGGTTTTGAGGCCGTTTATTCGGGGCTCGATCTTTTCTCATTGGAGGTATCATTGAATTTTCAAACTTCTTTTTCAACACTTTTTATCACTTCGGTGGGCTCTCTATTGGGGACTCGATGAGGTGGTGGATAGTTAATTATTGCCTTTTTAAATTTTATTTTAAATTTGTGTGCAACAGAAAACATGCTTGTTATATCAGCAATCTCGTGAATTCTACGGGAGACTTGCGGTTTTAAAATAGTTTGTAATGCTACTGGGATATGTTAAAAATAGGGGAGATGGTAAAAAGAAAAAAAAAAGAAATTTGAAATTTCAATGTTTGCTTTTTTTTATATTGATTTTTTTTGCATTCCGTAAACACCGATACTAATGAAATAAAAAAATAGAAGAGGCTCGAGAGGAGGGAGTGATGAATTTACCTGGGGGATGCTGATAGGAGGGTGTCGCAGATTCCTCGTGCCTGCCACAGGGGATTCGTCATGCAGACGAAGCACTTCCAGTTGGGGGTGTCTGCCAGCAAGAGAGCACTTGATGCATTTCTCTTGATGCAATTCTGAACACAAGAGCATTTGATGCTTGAAAAATAATTGAATCTCCGATCAATTATTTACGAATATCTGAGAAATGAAAATGGAAAGACTTTTTTTCCGGAGGAGAATGAAATATCGCTTTCTTGTAAAAATGTCCAGACACTAGTCCATCAATTAATCGTCAATACTATTAACTATTCATACTCCAAATAATATAATAATAATGGTCATGATTAATTAATCCTAATATAATTATTGCCATTTTGTAAATTTCCTCTAAAGTGAGACGACTCGAATTTATTATTTATAGTAATTATCGGATTATTCCGAAAATTTTCGATTTCAGGGGGAAACTATGGGGAACTTTTTTATAGCTGATTAAATTTCCGATGAAAAATAGCTTTTGATACTTTTTTCCAAAATCAATCGCTTCGGAGATAAATTCATGTTTATCAATACTTTGATATTTGATTTATTTTACTGTATGATTTCGGAAGGTTGGTGTTTGTATTACCTTACAAAACGAGTAGGGACAGCCTTTCACAGGACATGGAAAGAGAGTTTGACAATTATCAGATCCACACATCAAACATCTCCTCTTCCAGGCTTTGGCAGAGACTTTAGACTTGAAGGAACGAAAGGAATCACTGCATGCCTGAAGAGTCACAAAAAATATATTCGAATTAAAAAATTATCAATTAATATGAAAGCTAGTGGCGGAACTGCCTGGGATTAATTCCCGAATTGATTCCTTCGTGGACAAAAATTGCATCCATATTTCCATAACTCACTTGACACTGCAGAATTCCCAAAAACGGATGTGAATAGAAGGTATCAGCTTCGAAACTGATAGTATTTCCACATGACGAGCAGAAGAGATCACCTCTCCTCACCGATGTGATACCTAGAACCACAGACAACGAAAAGAACATGAAGAATTGAAGCTCGAAGAATCCAAATAAATATTGAAGAAAAAAAGAAAATATTTTCATCGTGGAATTACCGTTGTAGTATTTCGCCCGATAGGCAGATTCCTCATTAGAGACTGTCGCCTCAGGCATCTGAAAACACGAAGAAATGTCATGAATTCCCCTCAATTACCTCAATCAAGGATTATTTTCATTATTTCAACGACTATTTATAATCATTACCATTGTGTCGGGTAGTCGCCACAGCCCGCCAGATTTCTCGACTCGATTTCCCTCTCAATTGCGCGGTATCTTGGTTGAAATGAATCGATAACTTTTTTTCAAACGTTAGAGTGAATAAATAATGCGCCTTCTTGTTCACTAATTATGAGATCTCAGGTTGCAGTTAAATTCGCTGACTTGGTGATGTGTTTTAGAACAACCTTGGTGATTTCGCTTGCCTCTTTTTTTTCACTCCAACAACCGCCATGATTGCTTGGAAACGGCGATTGCAGCGCTTCATTTTTTTCCGATTTTTTAAAACTAACGCGATCCAGGATGCTAAAACCGCTGTTGATATGAAATTCCCGTTCTCAACTGCATGTGCGAATGTTTTATGCGAATGATAATTGAGTGTCGATAATCCTTTAGTAAAAAAAACATGGACTGGAAAGTGTCATGGCGAAGAGTATGTAAAAAGTGTCATGAGCTGAAGGATGCGCACTCATGTGAATGTTCATGACGATGAGGTTCGCGAATTTGAGTCGATTCCTGGAAAAGTTCAAAGAACGAAACAGAACGAATCCCATGAATTGAATCATATATCTTCATTTTTATTTTCATTATCATTTTCCTTCCCATTGAATTAAATACATCCTCCATTAAAGTTCATTGGAACGATCTTAAAACATTAAAAAAATGGACTAAAGATTATCGACGAATCCTTCTGCAATAAATACATGATCCCTTATTAGTATCAATATCCGAAAAGTTTATCTTAAAATACTTTAATGTTAAGCATCACTGGTTTTTTGTTCAACTACAATACAATGTGCCAACAGCAAAGTGGTGAAACGTAACAGAATGCATCCGCAATCCTCAAAAAAATTCTCGAAATGCAGAATATAAAAAAATGTCTGACCATCAGAGTTTTCTCATTACAATTCCCCACTTGACTGCGAATTTCCTCAATAACAGAGAAGAGAATGAACTTTGCGTAATTCCTCAGTGCCAACATTGAGATTGTGTGCAACAGACTGTCCCTGAAAGGGAATATAAATTTTAGCAGCCAGAAGGCAGTCCCTCTCCTTCATGGCAGCAGCCATTTCCCTGCTGGGAAAAACCGCAAAATTGGCAGGAGCTCTTGCCCCCATTGTTCTACATACCGCAGCCTCCCTGACTTCATTACTGAGTTCCTCAGCCCTCTCCATTAAATTTTTCATAGTAATCTGCCTCTTAACGAGATCATAAGCAGGCGAAGCCTTCTCCAGGACTGGAGGCTCCTTATCAACTTTAATCCTACTCAAATCAGGAACAACTGGATAAACCAGAGCATGCTGAACGTCCTTGAGGAGCTGAAGACGTTTCCGCTGGAGTTTTTGAATTTTGGGATCACTCTTGACGGGGGGAACCACTGGAAGTGGTTCAAGAGCCTCGAATTTGTTCCTGAGGGACTCGGAGAGGAGTTTCTGCTTGACTCTACTCTCATTGCTGAGTGCCTCCTTCAGAGCTGCTATCTCCTGGACAAGTAATTTATTATCATAACCGATTGGACTCGAAGAGATACTCTCCGAGGACACATTCATCGATTCCTCTGTTCCAGACGGTATCCCAGCCACTGGAGTCGTCACTTTCTTCCCAATGGATTTCAATTTTTCCTTCAACTGCCCCTTCTCAGACTCCAAACTGTCAATATCAGTCTGCAGATGATCCATCGTTTCCTCGAACTCCTTCTCTTTTCGTTTCAACTGGTTCTGCGCCTCGTCGAGCTTTCTCTTCAATTTATCGATATTCATTTCGTGGTCGTGCTGCTGTGTGGCTAACTTCTTCTCAGCAAGCTCCTTCCTCAATACCATTTCCGAGAGCTCCTCCTGCTTCTCCCGAAGTGCCAATCTCGCCTCCCTGATATCCACGTCCCTCGTCTCGAGCTTTCTGCCGAGTATTTTCGTCTCCTCGGATTCTTTTCTGACGACTTGAGCTCTCAATTGAATCGGCGATACAATTTCAGCACTCAGGTCTGCTATATGGGCTGCATTGCCTGCAATTGCCAGTTCATTCTCACACTCTGCCATTTTCTGGGCGAGATTCGTTGCAATTTGGTGAATAATTGTGAGACTGGCTTTGATGGTGGTCACTGGACCAAGATCATCGGTGTCGTAGATCCTCTCAGTGGACATGGCAGCCATCTCCTTGAGTTTATCAGCACTGAGTCCAGTCTCTAGGTCTCCATTAGCGATAATGGTCTGAAGGGCTGTCTTCAGTAGATCCTGGAGACTCTTTGTCACTTTGACTGCGTTCTGATAGCAGTTGGCAAACTGCTCGGGCCAATCTTTATCGAGGCCGAGATTCATTCCAGTGGCACTCGTGTTCATGTGGTCCCTGGGGACCCTGCGTCGTGCTGAATTGAGATTATTCTGAATCACCTCGCCTGTGGTCTCGATGTGCTGACAGAGTAGTGCAATATCTCCACCCTCGCCTTCCAAAAGAGCCTTAACAGATGATGCCTCTGTGACAATTGCATTGCAGAGACTTCCAAGGGTTCGCGTTCCATTGATGATCATTCTTGCTTGGTTAGTCAGGGTGCTGTCACCAAACATCACTGAGAACATGTTCGAGAAATAGGTGCAGCACTTCTCAATGCTATCCATCGGGACATTCTCGTCTAGCTGATCCTTTTTAGCAAGTTGAATTAAGAAATCCAAGGATTTTTCCTGGGCTGCCATTTCAGGATAGGCTGCACCAACCTTGAGGAGAGTCTCTGGCGAACAGATGTTCAGACTCGATTCGAAACATCCGAGAGACGTCTGGAGGGCATACATGTGTCCACAGAGACGATTTCTATACGCGTACTGAGCTACTGAATGACCCTTGAGTAATCCTGCCTTGTCGACCTTATCTATTGCACTGTATTTGTCCCTCACTTGAGAAATTATTATCTCTGTCTTCTGAATCATTCTGGGGATGAGTAAAAGTGTCATAATGGCGTCGTGATCGTTTCCTCGAGTGAGGAAGGCTGGTGGCATGAATGAGATGAGATATTTCACGTGATTTCTGGCTTCCTCGACGTCAAGACGTCTCAACTCGAGGTCGACAGCTTTTGTTTGGGCTCGCGACTCGGCGAATGTCTTCTGGAAATCGAGGATCTCGGCCAGCTGTTGCTCAGCTCCACCTGACTGAGAGGACTCTGTCGATTGCACTCGATTTTGGAGCTGGAGGCATTGCTCCTGGAGTTGCATTGTTAGTTCTCTGAATTTGGTGATTGTCATTTCACGATCTGCCAGAGTTTCCAGGGCTGCGTCCTTGTGGCGTTGGGCATCCCTCGATGCTGCCAAAGCCATATCCAATTCCTCTCGCAATTCCAATTCAAGTTCCTTCGAGGACTCTGCTAATTGGTCCGACATGTCTTGGAGTTGCTCGAGATCGGAGACTGCCTCCTCCAGCTGGGCCACACGTTCCTCGAGGGCCATTTTCCTCTCCCCCAGCATCTCTACCATCTCCTCAGCCCCCAGAGCTGCATCCACCTGCTCCTGTAAATCTGCTATCTGATGCTCCATCTCCTCAACTCTTGCTGATAATTTCTCTTTAGTTCTCCCTAACTCGAGAATCTCTGATTTCTTCTGATCCAAATCCTTTTGCAGCTTCTGAAATTCGTGTTTCTCGTGGGCTGACAAGTCTCGCATTTTTACGAGAGTCTCTCGGAGACGAGTGTTCTGTTGCTCCAGTTGTTTCACCTCGAAACTCGATGGGGCTCCGGAGGCAACAGCTCCGCCTGCTCGCTCGGACATCTCTGTTCGAAGAATTTCAAGGTCCAGGGTCTTCTCTTCGAGCTTTTCCTTTAACTGTTCCAGTTCGATTTGCAGAGTCTCTGCTTTCTCCTCTGCCATCTCCTTATCGAGAGTTGCCATTTCCACTGTCTCTGACAGATCGGCCATCTCCTCCTGGTAAACATTCTTCGCGGTCTGGGCCTCACGAGCTTCTTGACGAGCACGCTGTAGCTCTCGTTGAAGACTCGCCTGGAAAAATAAATATCGATATTTCAGACGTCACCTTCAACGAAAATATCATTCTTCAACCCACTTGACTCTCCATAACTTTGGATTTGAACTCCAGCAGCTGCTCAAACTGGAGTTTTGTCTTTTCGAAATCCTTCATTCTCTCCTTGTCCTGCATCCTCTTAACTCGGAGTGTTTCCACTTTTTCGGTTAAATCCGTGACCTGTTTAGCATAGAACGAGTATCAACCATAAAAATAATTGAGCTGAAATTATTATTGCGAGAATTAATACCTGTGACTTCAGATTTTCATTCTCCTGAACTAGCTGAAGATGACTGAGCTTCTCCTCCATATTGGAGGCACTGGACAAAGAGCCTGCCATGACCTGTCCAGGTACGAAGTGTGGCTTCAAGGTTTCCACAAAACCCGTCTATTTTTTCAAAATAAAACAGCAATAAATAAAGCGAATAAAACTTGTTAGTTCATCAGATACGACAGGGTGTCCCTTCAATCAATGGCTTCATCATTTTTCCAGCTTCCATCGAAGGAACACCGAACTAGTCTTAAGCATTAGATGATTAGTGTGGAGTTGTCAAGGTATCGAGTGAAACAATTAGTCATTAATGACAGTCATCAACCAGAAAGAAATGATGAAAGAGTAAATCCACCAAAAATATTAAATAATACAAAATAATAAATATTCCAGTTAGTCCACAATATCTACAAAAGGATCCATCAACAGAAAATACTTAGTCATAAAAAACATGAGAATGGAGAATGTCGAGAGGAAATCAGGAAAGTGTTAGTTATGAAGTCTGTGATAAAAATTTACAAAATAAATTCAACAATGATCGAGTTCGATGAGTTAATTAGTAAATCAAATCTCGAGGGTGAAAAATAATCACTGGAGGTAATAAATAATTAATAGCAATGACAATTAGGTTTAAGTAACTGTAGTAAACATTAATGATAATTAATTACATTATTGCGATCGTCTTGAGCCTTTGGCCTTTTGCCGGTAGGCGAGCTCGTGCTAGGGGACTTCTGAAACACGTACGTGTATAGAAACATTCAATCCCACATTTAACAATCAGAGATTAACCGTCCAGGAATCAAGGTATAACTCAAAGAAACCAAGAACACATTTCCTAGATTTTTAATCCTAATATCTCTGATTCTCAGTAAATAAATTACTTTAAAAAATCATCTCCTAGTTGTTAATATCATAATAATCTCTTGTCACGTCCACAGTCCATAGTCTAAGGTACTTAACATACAGAACAGAACAAGGTGCATAAGGGAAATAAAAAGGAATGTGTGAATTTATGATTGTGGAATTTACCTCGACGAATGACGCTCGTTTTACACTAGTGGGGACTGGAATTCCAGATTCACTGGCATCTTTTCTGTCGTGAATTGAGCCCGAGAGGTTCTCGATGCTCTGAGTGCTTAACTGGGTTCGACTGCCCGCCAATGACAGCCTTGAACTGCAAAATAATTAAATTTATCAATCGATTCTCTCGGACGTCAGGTTCAATATCGAAACGAGTGCAATTCGGTTGTGCGTGAAGCCCTGGTGATGAGTTGTGGGATCATGTATGGGTTTTTTTTCTGTTATGAGACATTGAGCGGGTGATCACAGATGTTGGTCCTTACCCAGAGAGCTTCTCACTGTGTTGACGACTAGCTTGGGCAGGAGAGATTTTTCTCCTAACGCTTAAAACGAGCCAGCATGCATGGGGAAACATCATTATTGGGAGTTTTATTTTTTATTGAGAGAGCAATAGAATTCTTTTTTAAAAGAATTTCCCTGAGAAGGGGGACAAGGGAATTTATAGGAGAAACTACTCTGGAGTTTAAAATTATTGGCATAAAATCAATTGCAGCACTGCTGCTGAAATAATTTTTATTGAGGGGGAAAATTGTCAAAATAATTCGTGTGTATTAAACCCAGTCATTAATGAACAAAAATTTTCTATTCTCCAAGCACGAGACTGTAAGGAACTTACGCGGTGGGCTCGTTCCTCCTGCGGATGTTTGTGCTAGCATGAAAGTACAGAGTTGAGTTGATTTTAATGAGATAATAAATTAATTTCACGTGAATTACCTGTTGAGTCGACTTCGTGCCCTGGCAGCCCCATCGTCAGGGGTGGTGGCAATACTTCCAGCTGATCCTGGACTGGTTGGATCCTGCCTATTACCTGCACTGTCGAGAAGTACCACCTGGGTTTGACGAACGAACATTCCATGATTCTCTGCACACTAAAGGATCAACGAATAAATGAGAAAATCGTTTGAAATCGGTGTGGAATATTTCTGACCTAAAAAAAATCCATCAACGGCGATCTGTCAAATCTCTAACCTGAAAGTACGACTTGTCTTTGATGGTGCCGTTGTTCTTGCCCTTGGGCTCGTCAAGAATAACCCCAATCCATTTACCAGCTGCAAAGGACGGATGTCCTATCCATGCGATCTCACCCTGGCAATCCTTCCCACTGATTTCAACCCTTGCTCCAACTCTCAATGACATGTTTCATCAAGAGAACAACATAAAAGTCCACTGACGGGAACAAGACAGGAAAGACAGGAACAGAGAGGATTGGCTGATGTAGAGGCTCAGTTTTGGGGGTTTGAGTGACCCCAGCTGCATCGTAGTACCGCACCCCATGAGAGGGAGGGCGTCACACGCAATGCTGGGGTGTCCATCAAGTCAACGGGGTGAATTTTATTTTCTGCGGCATGAATACTCTTTATTTTTTATTTGTTTAAGTGAAATTTAGTTGACTGTAGAACGAGCGGGAGGGGGAAGCCACATCTTGTGAAATTTCATTGAAAAAAGTTATTCAATATATTGAAGATATACCACTAATGAAATTATATTTTTAGAATAAGCGCGTTGTCTCAATGGTAACGTGCTTGCCTACCACGCCGACGGCCGGGGTTCGATCCCGCCATCATTCATTTTTTTTTTTATAAATAATTCCATTTTTATCTTTTTTAAACGGCTAATCAATTGAAAGATCGTTTAAAAACTGAATTTTTGAAAATCGAAAAGATATTCAGTGAAATTGACAAATTAACAATTTTTTAAAACGATACTTTTGCAAAATATATACTCCTAATGAAATATAATTATTGTAATAATGCGTTATCCTAGCGGTAACGTGCTCGGCTAGCACGCCGACGGCCAGGGTTCAATCCTGCCAACATTCATTTTTTTTTTTTAAATAATTCCTATTTTTTGTTTTGTAAATGGCTAATCAATCGAAATATTGCTTAAAAACTGAATAGCTCTTCGATTATCATGTTCCCCTGATACTTTTTCAAAAATTTCGAATTTTTCACCTTCAGTGAAAATTTCAGTGAATAGCTCTTCGATTGTCATGTTCTCCTGATACTTTGACAAAAATTTCGAATTTTTCACCTTCAGTGAAAATTTCAGTGAATAGCTCTTCGATTGTCATGTTCTCCTAATA